TGCTTGGGGGTGTTTGTGGGAATAAAAGTTACTAGATCCTTTCAAAGGAGAATAAACAAAGATTATTTTACCCTCAACTTGATGGAAAAACTCTTGTGTAATTTACATTTCACATAAACTCAAGTGTCTGACAATAGAATTTCAAACTTGGCCTTCGAGATGGGTTAGGAGGGACACCAAAAATCTAGGAAAATGCTGGATGTTTTCTGGTTAAAGAGGATGCTGGCCCTCATTCCATGCTGTAAAAGATCTAATATACTTTTGCAGAGAAGACAGGACATAGTAGTTCCCTCCTGCTTTTTAAAAAAATCATAGCTCTGTGTTTCTGTGCATCTTCTGACTCCCCAAGAGATGGGTGTGAACTAAAAAACCTGAGTTGCTGAGTTCTGCTGGGTGCCAGGGAAGCCTCATGCAGTTACATTCAATCCAGCATAAAGTGGGCTTTGATTGTAACAAGAGCAATTAATCATAATTTCCTTAAACCTTGGAGGTGTGGTTCCCAGTCATGGCCTAGATGTTTGTGACAAGTGACTTATCTGTGTTGGGAGTTTGTAAGCAGTTGATCAAAGTACCTGAAAGCACGGAGAGTGTCGCAAGAAGAAGTATTGGCTTACATTTCATTTTTAAGAGATGACACAATCCATTTATTTTTCCACATACATTTGGACAAGACATGGTGAATGAGCAGTGGCATCAGTCAGCTTCAGTAGTAGCTTACAGAGGGGTATTGGAAAAGGTATTTCACTCGTTTTTTTCTTTTCTTAATGTGATTTTAAGTTTGCAGTGGTCATGAACAGAAAGTGCCTGGCAGTCTGTGCAGATCTGATATTTGAATTGTTCATCAAAGATGGGGTTTGTAGAAGGCCATTTATTGTCAAGACCATTCTCTGTTTTCAATGCTAGTATTTTACTGTCTCTATAGCATTACTTGTATTCTCCCTGATATCTTTAATGGATAAGGATACTTCATACAAAATCATATTCTTTGTTTCAGAGCCTGATTTATTTAGAGTAAGCACAACAGGGTTCAGTGAGGAAGATCATATATTACATTTCCATAGAGTGCTTCCAGAAGGAGTTTGGATTCAAATCATAGGTGACTTTTGGTGAAGTACTTTAAAATAAATTCTGAGAAGTTATTTTTTCTTGGACATACTCTTCTAATATAATTTCCAAATAGGACTCAGAAGTCTGAAAAACAAATATAACGTGCAAACTATATCTTTGATATCATTGTTTCTTGGTGTATTAGTGCTTCGGGGGAGCAGAGCATCCATATTTCTCAAGACTTTTTGTAGAATTTAGCTTTTAAAGGCTTTCTAGATGTCAATGTGTCTGCAGAGCTGAGCTCTTTTTATGTCTCATCCTCTGTCAGGGAGGAGGTATGCAAAAAAAAATAAACAAGCCACAAAACCAAAAAGACTGGGAGGGACCATAACTGGGACAGGTGACCCAAACTGACCACGGGGATATTCCACACCATAGAATTGTTAGATAAACTGGGGGAGTTACCCAGAAGGGGAGCTGATCTGGGTTTGGGAAACAGGCTCTGGTGCTGGTCAGTGGGTGATGAGCAATTGTATTGTGCATCACTTGTTTGAGTTTTTCCTTTATATTATCATTACTGTTACTATTATTTACCATTATTGTTGTATTTTACTTTATTTTCAATAATTAAACTGTTCTTATCTCAACATACAAGTTTTACTTTGATTCTACTCCCCATTCCACCAGGTTTGGGGGGGAAGATGGGAGGAGTTGAGCAAGTGGCTGAGTAGTTTCCAGCTGGGCTTAATTTCCAGCTGGGCTTAAAACCACAACATGACTAAAGAGCGAGGTCTTTTGTTCCAGATTTAAGTCCCAGTTCTAAAGCATTAAATATGTAATAGACGTTCTCAATGAAATGGTAATGATTAGATTGAGACAATGATGACATAAGCAGACACATTTCATTGATGTAATTTACTCAAAGTGCTGTACTGCTTGTGGTTGGAGCTAAAAATTCCTGGCAGCAAAATGAAATTTTAAGTTCAGACCAAGCAGTCTCACCGTGGTAAGGCTAAAACTCGTTTGTACTTTCATGCTCTCTTTGCTAAAAATTAATTTAAGTAAATCCCACTGTCACATAGTAACTACTGTGGAATGCTCTGAGTGGTGGGGAGTTTCTTCTGTGTGGCTCTGGGAGCTGCACTTGGTTATAGCTCAGCTCTGCAAGGCCTTGTTCTGTTGTGTGCTAAAGACACTTGGCACCAGCTGAGTCTGGTTGTGAGAAGTTATGTTTCTGGATGGGAATATCTTATAAACCTAGCTTTGATATGCTCATTTTTCAGGTATTTTCAATTTGTATGATATTACAGGTGATGTTAAAATAAAGTTGAAGGGATTGTCCTTTATATAAAGTAAGAAGTAGAGCTACTTTGGGGTCATGGAAAGATTGACCACTGTGCTTCATGGGCTAACTGGAAATGCAGGTGGCTCTTGCCAAGAGGGGTGAGTGTGTGCTGTGGAGCAGAGTAGCTGTTGTTCTCTGGACACAGTTAGTAAAGGAGCAGCATTTATTTGGTTTTCAAATAAATGTTGGAAAGAGATGGCCATGAGGAGAAGCTGGCTATCTAAACCCTGGAGGCATGTGTGCTGCTCTTTGTGTTGATGGCCTAGTTCATAGCCTTAAGGCTGACTGCTGAAGTAGAATTTACTTGATTTGTCAGAAAACTCTGTTTGAGTCCCCTAAGTGTTTTGGTTTTTTCCTACAATGAAAGAAATACAGATTGAGTATTCTCATACGTTGCCCTCTGAGATATTTTACTGTTGGAAGACCCTGCTTTGCCACACATGAAGAAATGAAGAATGACTAGAGCTAAAGATTGTGATGATTCCAAGTGTCTGCAAGAAATCCTCAATTGCACTGTTAATCACAAGTATGGACAGGCAATTCTTAGGAAGTCTTAGCTGAGTTTTGGAGTCCCTTAAGGTTTCAAGAGTTATCTTTTTATTGATTAAATCTTTCACCTTCAGTGGTACCTGTACTGTAAACTGTAGAAATCTGAAGTAGAGAACTTTGTGTGGCATGGTGATGGTGTGGTTAGTACTTACAACAGTGAAAAGAAACCCAGAATAAGTTCATGCTCCAGGAGATTTGTGCTCTAAAAACAGAGATAAGTTTGCATACATAATGAATGATCAGAAGACCTGCTGCTAAGCAGTGTAGTTAGAATACTGATGCCGTTAATAGCATTTTTCATCTAGTGGTTAAGAAATAGTGGGTTTGATTGGAAATACTTCACTTTTACATTCTGTCAGTGGCTTAAAAGGTAGTTTGTAAAGCACTTACCTCAGATAAGATTTGAGAAATATATTTTCTGGTAATTAAAGTGTCATTACACTTCCCCTGTTTCATACTTTTCCCTTCTGGTGTTCTTTGGAATTGTGCCCTCTTAGTGCTTCTCATAATTCTGGCTCTGTACCTGTAACACATAAAACTAAAATGTCTTTTAAGTGGCATAAATAATTTTACATTTTATTTTGGTTGTACTTATAGTGCTTGGGAAAAAAAAAGAATGCTTGCAGTCTCAGTGCTTTCACTCTTGACATTCAGATTTTAATACAGGCCTGTTATGTACCTGAAGAGTTTTATACAGAAGGCAGCAGTAAACACTCTGTTCTGAACTAAGACAGGTAACACATTAATAGCAAATACAAGATCCTTGAATCTGTGGGTTTGAGTACCCTCGGTCAGCTTGCTCTCCTGGCCACCCATATGAGATGCAGTTGTAGAACATAATGAAGTTACACTGATGTTCCAGGTCACCAGCAGCTATTTCAATACCTGTTTACCACAGAGACTTTTTAAGTAATATTTACTGGATGATTTCCAAGAACAGCTGAGAATTTTTGCAGTAGGCATAACCAGTCTGGTACTGTCAAATTGAAAAGGGTACACAAAGATATTGGGCTCTGGGATTGTTTTTTACTCTTCTGGTCATAAAACTGAATTGGTAAGAAGAGAATTCAACCTGTCACAACTTACTGCAGGGATATTTTCCATTTCGTTTTATGGCCCTTTGAGGATTTGGTTTCTTATTACAATAATACAGTTAATTAGTTGCAATGTCTCCCTAAAACCAAGTCACAGTTACTGTTTGCTTTACTGAACATTAAGCTGGTGCAGTGCAGCAGTGGAGGAAAAAAACCATAGAGGATAAATATGCCCTTTATTTAAATTGCATGCACCTGTAGTTGACAGATACTGACATTAAGTAAGCTTTGAGATGACTGATAATCATGTTTACATGCTTGTAAAAACTTAACTCTCTGGAGGCAAGTGTAATGGCTGGGGATCTGCTGCCATGGTTTGCTTTGTATGAGGATGGTGTTTCATGGTAGAGGTTTGCTGAAAGATACTGGCTGGATTTTGTCTATCACTGCTTACACACAGAGCAACACAGGTCTTGTGTTCCAGCAAAGGCAGCTGTTCATCTTCGATCTCAGAGGTCCCAACTAATAAAACTTCAAGTGGTTTTAATAAATGAGCAAGTGCCTATCCATCAGTTTTGCCATGGCAACTGTTTGTAGCCCATGATGAATATGACAGTTTAAAGTAGCTGAACTGAGTGAAAGAAAAGGATATCCTACTTTGTATCTAAGTTCGGGTGCACCCTACAGGCTGGCAATAAGCTGATTGAAAATGTGGTGAGGAGTCTTGAATAAGATGCAGGCTTCCTTTCTCCTCTCTCTGGTTATCTGTAAAAACCTTCTTCCTTCTGGTTAGCCCTTGGGCAACAGCATGGTTTTGAATTAGTGTCAACTTCTTATCATACCATACCTAATGCACTAAAAATTAATAATGTAGGTAGTTTCAGATTGATTTGTTTGTGTTGATACTATTTAAAAAATTATCAATGTATATGCACTGTTTCAGTGTAGGTAAGAAAAATACCTGCCTCATTCTTTAACACAATGCTCTTTCTCAAATCCATCTTTGCACTCTGTGTCTCCTGCAGGTGTTCCGCAAGGATCTCATTAGTGCCATGAAACTCCCAGATTCTCACCATGTCAACCCTGATGAGTATTACGTCTTTGCGGACACTTGGAAGCAAGAATGGGAGAAAGGGGTTCAAGTTCCAGCCAGTCCAGAAACTATTCCGCAGCCTTCTCTCAGGTATTGGTGATCAGACATGGATCATGTGTACAAGATGGCAACTCAGAGAAGATGGTCTCTCAAAACCAAGTTGTCTAAGTGCAGTCAGATTTTCTCTGTTGGTATGTTTAAATCTGCAGTGTAGCAGCCTTCAGACGTGTTCTTAAACCACACAAGTGCCAATTTGGAAAACATTTCTGTGGTGCTTCAGTCCAGATCTCATTCTGTCTGCACGCTGTTACAGTATCTACATTGCGAGTGTAAAGAGATCTTTTTTCCTCAGGCACATGGTGCTATGGATTAAAAGCTGTTTTTTATTTGAGCATGGGGAGTTGAATAAATTAAAAATAAACCCATATCTTATGCATATTACTTGAAAGGTTTCCCTACACTGCATGATGGTATAGAGCTCTAGACATGCAGTAATCACTGATACCTGGTAAAATCACACATTTGTTTATATAATCTAATTTTGGTTATTCTCAATGTTTTAGCTTTTTCTACCTTCTCTCACCACAGTTGGCTGTTTAACATTACAGAAGTTCAGTGATCTCAGATTCTGAAGATAAGATAAAGAATCTTCTGTTCTCTCACACTGTGTTTAGGCTAGGGAAACATAGCACTGTAGTCCTGCAGCCCTTCCTGGTGGAAACAAAGCATATTTGAACACAGAAAGGTTAATGCCAGCATGCTCTTCAAGACTAAGAGAAATGAATTGTCTGGTGAAAGTGCTGAGTCAGCATAATTTAATTTCCACTGATGCTATTGTCACTAACAAGTTATTAAAAATAAGTATATTGCAGCTCATATCAGCAGTATTATATTACAGGAAAAAAACTGGACGAGAAAAAAGAAACGCTCACAAGAGAATTAGAGCAAAAAATGAGCAGGGTAAAGGGGGATGAAGAATAGCAGAAGAACATTGTTTGTTCTAACATTGATAATCCACATTGTCCAGTTAGAATTATGTGAGATACAGCTTGACAGCTGCCTCCTCCTTCTTTGCTGCCTTATTTTCTAGAGTTTTTATCTTGTCCTGTGGAGGGTGAGCTCCAGAAAGCATGTAGAGCTGCTCATGCATGGCACTGTTCCATTCTGTATGTCTCTGGCTTCCTTCCACATGTAGGGCTTTTTGCATTGAATTCAGAGAAAGATTGAACTTTATCTAGTTAGGATTATTCTTTCCATTCCAAAATCAAACCAATTAAACACAGAGTTTAATCTCTGAAAATACTTGAAAGAAACAACAGAAAGAAACAACAGAAGGAACACAAAACTTTTTCTCCATTGCTTCTTGGATGACTTTCCCCTTTACATTTTTGCTTGGCACCAGAATGTTTCTTGCATAACAAAAATAATGTATTTGTAATGTGGATAAGGTGTCATTTGCAAAATAAATGTTGACTGAGTATCCCAAATGGAGAGCAAGGATTTCCCCCCCACCTCTGCACACACAGACACTACAGGAGAATTACTACAGTAAGCTTTCATTGAAAAGCTGGTGTTTTCAAGACATCAGTTGGCAAGATTTCCTTATATAATTTAGGGAGAATATAGATTATATTGGTTTTGTACATAATACTTTCTGTGGGTTTCAGAAACCAGTTGCTTTGTCGTACCAGTAGTATTTGTTAAATGGAAGTCATATGGACAGGCTTACATTTTAAAAAGGGTTCTGTATATGTAGTAAACCTTGGAACATTTTGGGTGAAAAAATGACATTTACAGAATCCTGTCTGCCTAGGCTGACTATATTTATTGGCTAGTTTAAAATCTGTGAAACCCCAGCTTTCTTTGCACTTACAGCAAATATTTTATGTCTTTCAAGAATGGGTCTTAAAAAGCTGTAAGTATTTAATTTTTTCTTTTCACTCACAGGGTTGTAGCAGAAAAGGTAAAAGAAGTACTGTATACACGACCCAGGAAATACATCCACTGTTCCAGCCAAGAACCCACAGAACCAGGTTACATCAACATTTTGGAACTAGCAGAGTCTGTGTGTCGCTATGACTTGGATGACATGGACATCTTTTGGCTCCAGGAGCTAAATGAAGAGCTTACAGAAATGGGTAATTCCACAACATGTTCTCATTTTAAAAGCTGCACTTAATTTCTGCTGTTGGGGTTGTAGTGTGCTGTGTAAGGTCTCTGAAAGATTGCTGAATGAGAGTTGAACGGAAATGCTAAAAGAAACAGGAGCTAAAAAAGTAATTACTTTCTTGATCTGTTAATGTTTTATGTTTTACTTGATGTGCCTAAAAATTTCTTGATGTCCAAAATCATCTGCAACTTCTGCAGACTGGGGCTGGAGAGAAAAAGCCCACACCAGGTGGAATTAATTTCAGGACTTCAAAAGTTAAAGATTCTACGTAGGGAAAGCAGATGTTTCCATTTCTTGAACTTGGAACTTATCTACAAATTCTGAGTTCTGAGGAACTTGCATGCTGTGTTCTCAACAGAGTAATTAAGTTTCACACATGTTAGCCCATTCAAAATCAGCTAAGTAAACTTTCTTTTTCCATGCAAGTTGTGGGTATAGAGGTCTATGAGCAGGAGTGAGCTATGGAAAATATTGGAATCATCACTAGAATAACTGAATTATGGTGGAGTAGCCTGTGTGGCTGTTCTTCCATGGGTGATTGTAGGTCCTTTAGGAAGGACAGATTGGCATCTCCTGCATTTGCTGTTAATAAAATGAGAAGTACCTATAGAGCAGTGATAATTAATGGCCATATTGTCTGTAGCAGCAGTGAAATAGTGGTGACTGAGATCCAGAGGGGAGTGAGGAGGGGAAGTAGTTTTTCTGGTCCTAGACTTCAGGACAGCATGTTTCTACTTAGGGTGGGATCTGGGAGGCAGCTCTGAAGGGTGGAATTACTGAAGAGAGCTAGCAGGGCTTCAAGAACACTGTCCTCCAAGCACAAGAAAGTTCAATTATGCATTCAGAAAAATTAGTAGATATGTTGGGAGACTGGTTTGGTGAAGTAGGGAGTTCATGACTGAGCTCCAGTGCAAAAGGATGCACATAAATAGAAGTAAGGACAAATAACTTCCCAGCCATACAGGCATGCTGTAGGCAAAAGTTGTTAGCTTTTCAAGGGGGCAAATCTCCATCAATGGAGATTTTCAAGATATGACTCCATGTATCTGCTAAGCAACAGCCTTTTTGGATTTCCTATTGACTCTGCTTGGAGCCCAGGCAGAGGCTGAAGCCCTCTGTAGGACCCTTCTCACCTGAATGATTCAGTAATTCATTTAATTCAGGCAATGAGAAAGTATTAGGGCATGGGAGAGAACGCTTTAACTCTCCCTGTTCATTGTTTGTAACAAGGAATCACAATTAGTAGCCTTAGTTAAAATATTAGCCTCTGCAATTAATGTTATGTGAATATCCCAACATCTGAAGGCCTGTGTAAATCATAAGCTGTGAACATCATGATCATTTTTGAGGAAGGATTTTGATGAGATGCAATTTGGAGATGTCTTGTAGCTGTGAACATCATGGGGTTTCAGTGCATGTCCCGAAGCTGCAAGCTGAGGGCCAGTTTCATAGCAAATACTTTTAAAGTGCTCCTGCTTATGCTGAGTTTGATTAGTGGTGAGTATATGTAGTGTGTGTAGTGTTCACCTGAACAGATAGTAGATAAATATACTGTTGTAATCCATACTATCTTATTTAAAAAAAAAAATCAGAAAAATAAAACCAGTTTTCATAATCATCATTTTTGATCACTTCATCACGATGGACTTAGAGATACTGGGTGGTGCAACTTTCTTTACAAGATAAGAAGTATTCTTGATAAGTTTTATTTCCTAGGGCATTAGTCTTCAGAAGAACACAGTGTGTGATTTTTGGATTTCATTAGTGTTTAGTAAAATTATGGAGGTGCAGGAAGGGTTGTATGAGAGCAGCCAGCAGTTACAGCAACTGCTGTCTTTTATGCTGCAGTGTTTTCTTCCAGGTGCAGCCCTGTGGTTTGTGTAAAATTTTTACTCAAGTAGTATTTCTGCTTGTATTTATAAAACAATGTTATAATTAGTCTGTAGAGTGAAAAATCTTGTCTATTTTTATTTTATTTTTAGATGCTATGTCTACTGCATTAGTTGCTAGAAGTTGTCTTTTTTCTCTTCCTGCCTTCTCTGACTCAGAAGCATCTGACTGTCCTCTAATTGCCCTTCCCTTTCTCTGTTGTAGGATGTGGGCTCCTGGATGAAAACACGATGGAGAAGACAATTGAAGTGCTGGAGCGGCACTGTCATGAGAACATGAATCACGCCATCGAGACCGAAGAGGGGCTGGGGATCGAATACGACGAGGACGTCATCTGTGATGTGTGCCGGTCCCCGGACAGCGAGGATGGCAATGACATGGTGTTCTGTGACAAGTGTAACATTTGTGTCCATCAGGTTAGTGCCTGCAGAAACCTTGACACTCTCCTGTGGTTTAAGTTTACCCAGGCAAATGTGGAATTTGAACGGAAGTTAAATGCTAAGTGGAGGACTTTGCGGTTTTCTACATATGAAGGGTGGTGTGATACTGAGGTGAATTTTGGACTATAATTACAGTAGATTAAGTGGTCTAGCATAGTTAATAAGTGGACAGCTACAGTCTAGTACTAGGAATGCAAAGTGTGTATTTGGGACATGCAAGTATTTCCTCTGTGACTGTAAATAATTGCTCCCCCTATTACTAAATCTGCTTTTGAAGATAAACAGGACAGGAAATACTGGCTTGTCTGTTTGTGAGAAATCTAAAGATCATTTGTTTCAGAGCTTTTTTTTTTCCTTTACTGACTTCTTATTTAGTCAGATGTAGACTGTCCAAATTTAGCCATCTGGAACCATATGTAGGCACTTAATAGAGTGATCTTTTTCAGAAGCCATCAGCACCTGCAAAAACCATGGTCTCAGTCTGAATGGTGCTCATGTTTGTAGTGTTTCAGATGTAGTCAAGACTTTACACTGCCTGAGCTCAGCATAGTCAGGTAAAGATATCCTTATAATCAGAAAAGGGGTATGAATCCTGTGGTTTTTGTGCATCCTGTTCTGGAAGGGAGTTTTGCTACAAATTGAAAAGAGACCAAGAAAGTGGTTTGGTTTTTTTTTATTTAATGCATTTTTGTACTGATTGCAAGTAATATTTGGAAAACATATCTGACTGAAAAAAGACCTGTCACTTCTCTGCTCACAGTGGGCTGGCTTCCAGCCTGGCTGCTTTCCTGACCTGAGTCCCGGTGTGAAGCAGCCTGTGAGCCTGAGTTGGCAGTAAGGTGGCCAGTGACAGGAATATGGCTGGCAGCTGGGCTGCCTCCTCCAGTCCTTGCTTCTGCCTGTTAAGGAGTAATGATGGATTTGCAGTCAAAGCTCATGGTTGTCTCCTGACAGCTGAGCTTGAGTTGATGGTCTGCTGCCTCCTTGCCCCTCACTCTTCCCTGTGCTGGATCTGCCTGAAACAAACTGGATTGTGTCTGGGCTAGAGTGAATCCTAACTATAACAGGGCTAGAGCAAATCCTGACTATAACAACAACTTGTTTCATTTTTAATCTGGATCAGTTTGGTTCAACAAGTAGCCTCAGGTCTGTTTGTCATCACAAGCTTGGAGATGGAGGGGAGGAGGAGTGTGAGAAAATTCCTCCTTTGTGGTACCCTGTTGTGCTGGCTCAAACACATTGTGAAATTACTGTTTTAGTAGTCCAGGCATCCTTTGCTTATCAGTTAAAATTAGAAAATAGTTTCAGTCCATTTCCAACACCCTAGACATGATCTTAGATGTAATGCCACTTCTGCTCTAGTCACAAAAAGACTTCTGGTGGGAATATACCACAGGAGGAAAGAACACTTGTAAAATTTGGATTGCAGCTCCCCCTGTTGGGCTTTTACAGGAGTTGTCACAGCAAAAAAAAAACATTTAGGTTAGTCAGTCCTGCCACATTTAATTCAGAGAAGTCCCCCTCCCTACAAGCTTGACATAAATGTGCAATGTTTTATGATATTGTTTAATATTAATTACTGAAATCTTACAAGCAGAAGTCTGGGAAGGCAAGTATGGGAAATTTATACTAGATTTAATCTGAAAGAATGGTTTCAACTATTGATCCCATTTTTTTGAGTCTTTTTATGTTATCATTACCAGAGATAGTGTTAGAAATAATGAGATATCCACCCTTTTGATAAAAGTTTTTTTTGGAGTGGTTGCATGAAATTAGACCTTGGTGGCAACCACTGATTTCAGATATGCTCAGTTTCATGGAGGTAGGAAGGATGTGTATATACAGCAGGATCCACCATTGGATCCATTAAGAACCATGAGGAATCTGAATTGGAAACTAAACTATTTCTTTTAATTCTCAAATCTAGCAAAACTTAAGAAATCTCTCATTTTCCATGTGGTTAAGTACAGTACTTAGTAAATAGTTGTAAGCCCCAGCATCTTATAATTCCAGTGTATGCTGTAATTTTTGTTGCAATATTATATAAATATTTAAAGAAAAGTTCACAGAACTGTAACCACAAACATTGCAGGAAATGATTTTCAGTCAAACAGCTCACATCCCTATCCCTAAATAGAATTATGTTAGAGCTAGAATTATGTTAGAGTTACATTTTTAGCAGTAGGAAATTGTGATTTTAGAAAGTATTAGATACAGTATCTAATTTAAAGGAAGTTAAAAGTCATTAAAGGTGAAGGTTTGTAACACCAGTGCTGTTGTTGCAGTCCCAGTGGATATGTTTCATAAATAGGTGTAAAAACTATTGCTTTTGGGGCTGTTTGTCCTTGGATTAATTTACTCAATTTAAGGTAAAGAAATCACAGAAAGATGAAGTGAAAGCCAGATTGTGCCTTTGCTTTTTGAAAGCTTTGCTCTGTGTGATTATGAATGCTTGTGCGTGAAATAATTTCAGCACAATGATTCCAATACCTGTTTTTCTCCAAGGCTTGCTATGGAATCTTAAAAGTACCTGAAGGGAGCTGGCTGTGTCGCACCTGTGTCCTGGGAATACATCCTCAGTGCCTCCTCTGTCCTAAAAGAGGAGGTGCCATGAAAGCTACCAGGACGGGGACCAAGTGGGCACATGTGAGCTGTGCTCTTTGGATTCCAGAGGTAAAACCCTAATTTCTCTCCTGTCTTCCCCTTCTTGTTCCATCCTCTGCCTATTCTCATGATTTAAGGTCTTTGACATAATACTGGGCTTTTTTTGATAGGGCTGCTCAGTCTGTGAAGTGTGGGAGAGGGTCCAGATTGTATTCCATTAATGAGTCACTTTGTCACCTCCATTTATTCAGCAATCACTTCTTGGAGTCATTATGGTATCTGTGACCTGCTAGAAAGGGCAACTGTGTCTTACAACTGTAGCTTCATTGTCTCATATTTTTTGATGAATTTGTGTGCTCAGATATGTGTATAATTTGCATGAGTACCTCCATTTTTTCAGAGTTTTGTTTGTTTGTTTGCTTAAAGGTTGCCTACACTGCGTTATTTCTATAGGATGTATGCTGCAATTTGTTCTTAAAGTTTCTTTGAATTAGAATTTTTCTGAATGGTGGGGAGATGAGAATTTTTATCTCTGTTATATACACTTTACAAGTAAAGTCTTTTTTGATGTATCTGTGCATAACATACATGGAGAGTTTCATAATGAAGTTTTACACTTCCTCTTCCATTTTGAATCAATTTAGCATCACAGTGTAGTTCTGTAAAATAGAAAGTTCTGGTAGGTATAGATGGAGTTTGTGTTTAATTTTGCACTTGGGATATTTATGTTTTATTTCTGGTAAGATTTACAAATCCATTATGGTGGGTGGTTTAATGTGAGACAGTAGCCAGATCTGTCAGCACCATAAAAAGAAGGATACAGTGTTTTCTGAGTGTTCTGCTCCCAAGTGCAGACAGGTGTGATGTGTGTACAGCTTTGAGGAAGATGTTAAGATTTTGGTTTGGTTTATTTTGACTTAGTAATTGGATATATTGTGTAATTCTTACTTGTCTCAGGCATATATATATCTGCTTCTTAAGGAGATTATCTTTGCAGTTGCACTTTTCTTTTCAGGCCTACTTGTAGTTTCTGTTATCTCTTTCACCTTCAAGGAGAGAGGAGTTGAGGAAAAAAACCAAAAATATTTCTTTTTTAAAGAAGTCACTTCTACTCTTGTGCTTATGAAGTGTCTTGCCTGGAAGCTCTCCTGGCTCTGAGCTGACTGGTTTTTCTAAGTGATCCATTCTGCATGTGGTTGCCTTGCTATCCTCATCAGCAGAAGAGGAACAGTGAATTTTGGGAAGGTGGTGATGGCTGGGCAGGAAGCTCACCCTGACTTCCTGTCTGCCCATCTCCCTCTGGCTGAGGAAGAGAAGTTACTGAGGGACACCCAGGGTGGGAAAGCTTGAATCCAGCTGTTTCCACAGCCCATTCAGTGATTCCAGGTTTTGGACACCTCCTCTCCACACCAATGGCATGGTGAAGAGGTGGCACATGCCTGCAGGCATGGGAAATGCCTCTTGAATCTGTTCTCTCAGACTTGTGTGTAGTCATTTGCAAAACAATTCAGTTACCAGAGAAGCCAGGAAAACCCTTTGCAAATTTCTACTAAAATGGCAGGTCATTTCCTGTCTGGAGTGGCCTTCTGTGCTGCAGGGGGCAAGAAAGACAGAGTTTGAAGTTCCAGTTATGGATGCTTTAGGGGACAATGTATATTATCATGTATCTTATTTTTTTTCTTCCGAGATACTAGCATGCTGGAACTTCCTAAAATAAACATTAATTATGAAGACACTGGTATTTCCTCTTGTGGCCCTAACAAAGTGAAGCAAGGCAGAAAGCAGGGAGGAAGGGGCTGTAAACGTCTGTGTCTTGTGGCAAAAGGCTCCAAGAGGCTTCTGTGGCAAAAGGCTCCAAGAGGCTTCGTGAGTCACCAAGTGTAGTCTAGCACTGTTGCAGTCAATTGTGCCAGGTGTTCTGCATTAATTCATTCAGCACTTGTCTTAAAATCTTTTTTCTTCCCCTCCTTCCTTGGGAGTTAATGCTGTTTAAAGGCTTTGTTTTTGCTCCCTTGACTGACTGGGACAATGGAAGGTTTTTACTTTCCAAAGAGTACTCATTGATTTATATCCTCTTTTTCTTCTGCCTTTACTTTGCTTTAGTGTAAATATGTGGTCTATTTTGTGGGTTTTTTTTTTTAAAGGTGTTCTTCTAAATTAAAAAAATCAAAAAAAGAAACACTGATACCAGAAAACCTGTATTGAGTGTTTTGAAATTCAAGGTGCTTCTCTGCCTTAGATAACCTATTACAGGTATGTCCTCTGCCAGTCAGTGTGGTGTTAGCTGAAGCAGCAAGTGATTACACCCCCGCTCGGCTGTAGAGGAAAGATAAAATTTACTGTGCTGAGCAGCTGTTGTGAGTGGCTGTGCTCAAGCCACTGGACTGCCCTTCCCAACCACTGATGCAGATCCTTGTGTCCTGGTGCAGCTGCTGGTGGCACAGTTAGCAGGGAAGCAGAGGACAGCAGCGTGATTGATCGTGTGCATAACAGATTGTAGGCTTCAACAAGCCATTGTCTTCACTCTCTCCCACTCCCAGAACTTCTTCAGAGTATAGCAGTCAAGATGTAACCTGATGCAAAGTGAAGAAATGGAGAAAATGACTACGTGTTATGGCAGATGGATCATTTCTGCCTTGGAATGGGAGTTCTTGGGGGATGAAAAGGTTGTCTTCTGCTCTCTGGATCCCTTGTGAGCAGTAAAGTTCAAACGGACTTTGCCTTGAGTCCTCTTTGCAGAAACATGCAGGTGGCACAAAGCCAGTATAAATAAATTGCACCTGACTCTCTAAGTGCCTCTTTGTGCTTTTACAAAGTGGGGTAATATCAACAAGTCAGCATTACAAGCTGAATGAACAGTATTTCCAATACAAATGTTTCCTGACGTTATGAGTCTCCTCTGGGGAAGGAGCAGGGAGAATGTTTAAGGGGGCAGAAAGGGACAGGGAAGAGGTCTGTGTCAATTCCCAGCTCCTGCTGGGAAGCCCAGTGGAAAGCTGATATTACTCAGTCTCCAGAAAAAAGTCATTGTAGATTCTGTTTTGATTTTGAAAAGAATATAGACAACCTGGCACATTGATACAATTCCTTAATTCCTAAGGGAAGTCTTTTCTCTCAGTGTAGTGGTAACAATCTTTGTACAATATTGTTTCAGAAATACTTGTGCAACTTGTAACCAGTTGTTCTGAGAATGGTCAAGTTAGATTCATGAAAGTCTCTTTCCTTTTGGAAGCAAAAAAGTTACATTTGATCATACTGAAGGGCACTGGCCATGATTTTGTTGAACTACTCGGGCATTCCAGGGACAGTCTTGTCACTTTTCCACCAATTTATAGGAATGCCACAAGAGGTTAAATTGTTAGTCACATCTCTCTCATGGGGTGCATCATGTATTGCCTGACTGTTCTTTAAAACTTGAACCTTCTGAAGCATCTCAGTGTCTTCCTAATGAAGACTTGTGGAAATGCCATGCAGCCAGTTGACCTCAGTATGTTCCAGAAGATGTGGGCTTGCACTTGGCAGATCAGAGAGGGAAGTACTGTAACAAACATTATCTTATTTGAGTCCATTTATGTCATTAATTCATGAACTATTGGTCAGCTTTTTTTTTCCCTAATGTGGAAATGATGAACCAAGTAATGTCTTGTGAAGCTGTTCTTTCCACCTACTTTAATGATGGAGAGAGTAGCAAAAATATTCTGAGCACAGCAACTGTGGCTTAGCACTGCTATCTTTGGTTAAGTCTACCTCACTGAGGAGGTCTGCTGAAGGAAGGCTTTTCATCCTTAGGGATTAAACAGGTTTTTAAATGAATATGTGCATCACATCATTGATGATGTACCTCCAAAGGGAAGCAAAAAAATTCAGCTTTGTCTACTGGCTCTTGTAAAGTTGCCAGTTTAATTATCACATGCTAAACTAATTCATCCAACCCAGGTTTTCTTGGGTGTCTCTTACTGTTGATTTACTCTATGAAAATGACTATAAAGTAATGCTCTTAAAGTTTTCTAGAAAAACAAAATAATTGTTGTTCAGATTTCACCCTTAACTTCTTTTTTTAGCCATCAGCTTTTTTCTGGCCTCACAGTGCCACAGAGAATGACCTAGGAACCTCCTTTCTTTGAGTTCTTAGGTTTGATCCCTTTGAGAAGAAGCCCATATTCCCACTACAGGAAATGCAGGTCTGCTCTATTCAGATGAATTGTTTTTAGAAAGTGTGGAGTATCAGCATAATATCAGCATTGTGGTTTTGGTTCTGCCAGGTGGCCCTCCAAGGCACAACTGCTGAATTCAAAAAGTGTTGTATAAGTGTCAAAATCTAAGCTTTTGGAGACTGGTGTTTTTGGGACAGTTATCCCACTGAAATATTCTGCTTTGTGCCATTCTCATACTGGCTCAGTTCTTCATGTTAGTCATTCAGAGCTCGCCAAGTTTTTGTTTCTGTGCTTGGATAAATTCTGTCAGGAGTGGCTTAGGGATGCCTACAGATATAAATATATCTGTTTAGGTTCCCAAGTCATAGAGGAAAGTCCTCATTTCCCTATATAGACAACAGGCAACTGAGAAACTTCTATCACAATGGATATATGGAAGTTAATATAACAAAGAATAGGAAAAACTATTCTGTCTATATATGTGGGGTATTTTTCCTTTCTTTTAGTACTATCTATAATCTGGTCTACCAGAGATAAATTGATCATCCAGACTAAGTCTGTGAAAACTAGCAGAAGACACTATATCCTGCTTTGTAATAAGAGTAGTTGTTTGTTTTTTTCTCAAATTATATTTGATACAGTCCATAGTTAAGAAAGTGCATCAGGATTATCTCTTGTGGTGGGAGTGCTCAGTGGAGAGGCAGAGCTGAGAAGCAAGGCTTTTTCTGGCTGCTGACTGATAGATCTGGTTCTGTCCCAAATATTGAGTTGACAGAAGTAGATACTGTAGCAGATCTAGGGATTTTATAGCAGGAATTTTTCAGGAAGGTGTTTCTGTTTTGTTCTGAGGGGCTTGTATTTTGACATTTAAGTTAGACCTGTGAAAGCAGCACAGAGGGAAAAAAACCCCAAAACCACGAAGGAATGGAAATAAACTTAAGAGTTACACTTGCTGCAGTCTCTCAACTGATAGTGGTTTAGGAATGGTATTCCCCAATTTAGTGTTCCCACTGAAGCACTTCAAAACATGCACACTACCTCCTCCCTTGCACCAGGCTGGAGAGGGGATTTGGAGGCACAAACGGTTAGGATCATGGATTGAGAAAAGAAGAATTTACTGGAAGCAGCAAGTGAAATAAGAAAAACAAAGAAAAACTAACTGTAAGAACTACAATATCAGTAACAGAGCCAGTGCTACCTGACCACTGGCTTCACACCACACTTACCTGACCAGAAGAGAGCCCTTTCCCCCACTCTGAGAAACTGATGTGAGCTGGTATAGAATAACCTCTGGATCCTAGCCGTGCTTCCTCTTGGCTACTGCAAAAATTAACACTATCTTGGCTGCAATCAGGACACTGGTTCATAACAAGGGCATGCTGTAGGTGCCTCAAATGTTTTGAATAATTGCAACTTTGAGTCACCAGGTTAAACTGATCATATTTCACACTATTGTCTGTGTGTGGGATCTTATGGGGTCCCTTTCTGAGAAGTCTGAGTACATGGAGATCTTGCTGGAAGAGAAATGAATGGATGGCTTTCTTCTTCTGATATAAATGGTGAGCTTGGGGTTTTTTTTCCCTTTGATAACTGTTTTCTGTGCTGCTATTTTTTCTTTACAGGTTAGTATTGCTTGCCCAGAAAGGATGGAGCCAATCACAAAGGTGTCTCACATTCCACCAAGTCGATGGGCTCTAGTGTGTAGTTTATGCAAACTGAAAACTGGTGCTTGCATTCAGGTACGTACTTGTCCCATAGTGACTCTGCAGGGGTGAATCTGTCAGAAGGGAAATTTTGGTTTTGTATTTGTTCTTCCTGTGTTCAGAGATGCTTTACAATGGAGTTGACTGTTGGACAGATGTCTGCTTCATAGCCATTTTCTATCAAATTAGTTGACTAGACAGAAAATTAGTCTGTGTTGCCATCTTTTGAATAAGGCTGAGGTGTTTAAGAGCCACTAATGTGTGTATCAAAGATGAACAGAAAACTTTCACTGAACTCTGCAAACAAGAAAATCCTATATTGGGTAATACCAACTTAAAAGAGATCAATATTTTTAAGAATGTGTAGGAAATTGGTTTTGGTGGGGGTGGATTTTCATGTAGTTGAGGTAGTTATGTCCTTTTTTTTCTAGTTTGCTGTTACTGTTAGTAATTGAGGATTTTTGTTTTATTTCATCTGCAGTGCTCCGTGAAAAGCTGCATCACTGCCTTTCATGTCACCTGTGCCTTTGAGCATAGCTTAGAGATGAAGACTATCCTGGATGATGGGGATGAGGTCAAGTTCAAGTCGTACTGTCTAAAGCACAGCAAGAACAAACAGAATTCGCTGCCTGATGTTGAGGAGCACCCCAAGAGCGTGCCAGAGCAGAAGCAAACCGAGAGTGAGAAAACGAGCCTGCGAGCCCAAAAACTCCGAGAGCTGGAAGAAGAGTTTTACTCACTAGTAAAAGTGGAGGATGTTGCAGCAGAGCTGGGCCTTCCTAAACTTGCTGTAGACTTTATCTACAATTACTGGAAATTAAAGAGAAAAAGTAACTTTAACAAACCATTGTTTCCTCCCAAGGAGGATGAAGAAAATGGCTTGGTGCAGCCAAAAGAAGATAGCATTCATACTCGCATGAGGATGTTCATGCATTTAAGGCAGGACCTAGAGAGGGTAAGAATTAACTTGTAAAGTTTTGAAAAACTATTTGCAGGTGAGCAAGGTCTTTCTTTGTGGATGAATGTGAGAATGAGGAAAGCAAAGTGAGATGATTTGAAAAATAATAATTTAAAAAATTAAAAAGTAAGGCATTCAGCTCCAGTCTTTTGATATGTTGCACTGTCTGATGCAGAGACTTTCAGGAGCTCTCTCTCTCAGTCCAGTGAAAGATCCAAGGTGAAAGCAGTGCTTCCTGACTTGCTTAAGGGTTATTCCTTTATGTATTTAAAGATGCATATTTCTATGTACAATGGACATATTTGGTAATTGACTCTATGACTTCAGCTTAAGTTGAGTAAGTGTTTAAAAAAATAAAGAAACTTATTTGACCCACTGTAGTAGTAGTTAGTGATACAAATTAAATGAGAAAAAAATGTTACTTTTATTAAACAAAAAATAAGAGCAAGGCTTGTTACCACTGCCTGTTAGGTTGGCCTGTTGGGTAGGGGTCACCTGCAATTTTCAAGTGCTTAGAGGTAGGTAGTGAATGTAAAGAAGGTAGTAAAATAAAATAGATATGATGAGGACAGGGGAAGTAAAAGCAGAAGAGGGGTAATAGTGTTGTAAAAAAAGGGGAAACAATATTGAGGAGAGAACAACATGAAAATACAGGAAGATTGTTGGAGCCAAGATTTGCACTTATCAGTGTAACTGTTGTCTTTAATCTATAATAATCAATTCCAGATCTTTTCCAGGACTGCTTTAAATATGGAAGCTTACTTTAAGAAAAAAATATAAAACTCATAATATGCCTCAGATGGTGGGTTGGTATTTGGGGGTGGGGATTTTTCAAGAGACCATGTAAGCTTTTTATTTGATAAATGTTTGGTTTGCACCAAATAGTTTTTATTTATCAAATTTTATCAAATTTATATACTTATTCTGAGTAGAGGTGATTCACAATCTGAAATGCCTGTTTCCAAGTTTCTGAACTTCTTCAGAAAGATTTTCCACAAGATTTTCTAATCTTTTGTATCTTGGGATAAATATAAATTTGGGAATCTTGGAATTTTGTTTCTAGGTAAAGAGATTCCAGTTCTGAACCGATGGAACTGAGTGCTGGGGAAAGTATGTTTGGCAGATACCTTTCAAGCAGCCCCTACGCTGTTTCTGTGTTTTGAAAGCACTTTTTGGTGTTTATCAAGAGTTTCCATTGTCTCTTCTTCCTCTATGGCCTTAGGTGGAAATTTTGCTATTAACTCAAACAAGTAGAATTATGTGGAACTGAATCAGAATGGTTTGGGCTGGAAGGGACGTTAAACACCCTCTAGTTCCAACACTCCTGACGTGGACAGGGACACCTTCCATGAGACCAGGTTGCTCAAAACCGCATCCTCACTTCAGGGATGGGGCTTCCACAACTTCTCTGGGAAACCTGTTGCAGTGTCTCACTGTTAACAATGTCTTCCTTACACCCAATGTAAACTTACCCGCCTTCAGTTCAAAAACATTACCTGTTTTTCTGTCACCACAGGCTCTGGTCTCTGTCTTTCTTATAATTCCTTTTAATATAAGGAAAAACTGCAGTGAGATCTCTCCAGAGCCTTCTTTTTTCCAGGCTGAACATTTTTTTTAATAGTTAGGTACGTTCAGTAATATTCACAAGAACTTTACCAAGGGATTTCGCATGTAATGTTGTTGATAGTCTTTTTAAACTATGTCTGGATTTATTTTCTTATTGCCTTTTAAGTCTCCTGTTATTCCTCCATAGGTAAGAAATCTCTGCTACATGGTAAGCAGGAGAGAGAAACTGAAGTTGTCCCACAGTAAAGTACATGAACAGGTCTTCAACTTGCAAGTCCAACTCATTAACCAGGAAATTGCTGCAGGTAATCACATAAATGTAAAATATTTATAAATCCTGTCTGTATTTAAACTAAAGCAGTGCATTCTCTTTATCTTCCTGGTTAGTGCTTTTAACATGTAAAAATGCCTTTAAGAATTTTGTTCAAGTACATATTCAATCAAAGTAGCAACACACGGAGAACTATATAATCACTTAAAATATTTACTTGAATATTTCTTTATTTTATGGCTGTTTCTGGTAAATGCCTATTGCTTATCACTGTGGCATCCAGATAGCAGAAATGAGCTGGTGGTGATCTCCAGGTTTTTGCACCGTTGTGCTGCTGGGGTGTGGCCCTGGTTCCCCACAGCAAGCTCTACCCTGCTGGTTGGTTCTCCAGCTGAGAAGGCTTTTTTGCTTGCTGTCACCAGTTGGTTCCTTCAGGCAAGGGAAAGAGTGACTGATGGGAATTGCTGCTGTTCTCATGTGCCTTGTGCACGTCATGAGCAGCGCAGATTTCTTCGTTTGCCATCTGCATTTGCTCTACTTCCTTCCAAAGAGTTTAAGTACTCTGGGTATTAATAGGGACTAGTAACTGGGAATGCTGAGGTACCAAACCCCACTCTGCCCTTCGCATTTACAGCAACTTTTTAAAAGGAACACAGCATTTGGAAAGAGGAAGAGTGTATGCATGCCAGTGTAATTACTGGGATTTTTTTTAATAGGAAAGGCAGCTATTTTTTTGTGTGAAACTAAGATCTCACTGGTCTTTCTAGATACATACTTGAGTTTAGAGTGAAATCTTTGTGGTTTTTTCTTCTGCCCCTGACACATGGATAGGTTTTGTTAGTACTGATATGGGGGGTTTTTTTAACTATTTTAGATAAGACTAGTACTTCATGGAAGCAGTGGCACTCTGAAGCTCCTTGCTTTTGTGTAAATGCATTTTATTAGAAATGTCGACTGAGTTTATTTAATATTTAAATTGTAAATATTTAATATTTACAAATACAAGTGGTTTTTAATACTTATTATAATAGCTTGATATTTGCAGTGGGCGCTGTATGCATGTATTACCACAAACAACTCGTATGTTGAGGTAGAAAGACTTTTAAAGCTTAGAGAATTTTATAATACAAAGCAGAGAGTTGAACTAAGTCCAAATTGAAACTCAGTTTGAAGCATTGTTTTTTCTTCATCCAAAACTGAATATGAACCTTTTTTACGGCTTTGTTGGAACAACTTCAGTCATATCTCAAAACTGGTTCAATTCACTGGCTTAGAGCCTCGTAAAAAGGGCACATTGTTGTTTTTAATGGAAATATTTAAATGCTTACCTAAATTCCAAAGCGGTGGATAATTTGGAACAGTTTGGTTATCCCAACTTCTCCTTAGTGTCCTAAAATAATTTCACGCTAATTATTTGCAAATGCTTCTTACTGTTGCAGGACCATATAATGGACAATAAAACTTGTTACGGATGGCAAAAGAAATTACGCTTTTTAAAAAAGCCTTTATTCTTTTTCTTCTGCTTCCTCACCTCTTTCCCCTGTAGGCCATACCCTGACAAGTGCACTAGAGAACACGCTGTTCTACCCACCTCCCAGGATCACCCTGAAGTTAAAAATGCCCAAATCAGCACTGGGAGACTGCAAAAATAACTCGCTGAAGCCTGGCAACAGACCGCTTTCTCCTGACAACAACAGCACTGTTTACAGCAAACGGAGTGTGTCAAAGGAATCATTTGAAATTAAAGCAAAATCTTATGCCAGGTATCAGCACGACAGCAGAAGTAATGGGCTGCTGGCAGGGATCGGCAAGCCTCGGAGCGAGGCAAAGGACTCTGGCCCCACGCAGCTGATGGAGTTCCACCGGGGCCAGCCTTCCGGGAAGCCTTTAGCGCTCCAGGCTGCTTTGCATGGACAGTCTTCCATCGGGAATGGGCGGGTGCAGCAGGAGAACTCAAGGCTGGTGTCCAAATCCAATGGTCTGATGGGCAGGGTGGGAGATGTGAGCCAGAGAGACAGCTCCAGCCAGACGTCCTATGAACAAGAGTCCGTGCTCACGGCTCACTTGGCCAGCCAGAGTGGGTTCCGAAAATCCACCATAGAACATTTCAGCCGGTCCTTTAAAGAGGCTACCAACAGTCTGGTGAGGACCACGGAAGATCTCCGGTGCTGTGAAAAGCCAACGAGAAGGCTTGCAACAAAAGATCGCTTGTGGAGCAAGCAGACACTTGAAGGTGCTCCATACCAGGACAACGATGGGTACTGTCCTGACTTAGAGCTGAGTGACTCTGAAGCAGAAAGTGATGAAAACAAAGAACAAGTGAGGTTAAGACGAAGTAGCTCAGAGAGAGAAAGCCCAAGTAAGGACTTTGGAAGAGACTGTCACAATAGAAACAAAAAGAATATGATATCTCACAGTTCGGTACAAAGGTGATTAGAAGCCCCCACGGGGTAATTCAGCCTTTATGTATTCCAGTGTACCAGTGCAAAGCTCAGCATCAAAAGGTTCCAGAAAATAGTCTAGGACCTATTTAGGAAGAGCTGCAGTAGGGGATGGGGGAGGGGAGAGAAATCAGAGTAGTTTTGTTCAACTGTGAATTGGTTTGCAGTCTTTGCAAGGTTAGCTCAGTTGTCCACAAAGCCATGTGGAAATTGTGTGTTTTATCAGAGGGTAACATCTGGGAGAGCACAGAGTGGTTAATCGTGCAAAAATTCAGGAAAGCACTTCCCCTTTGCCAGCTGAAGGGCAAGGCACCGTGTTCATGTGGAGGCAGTCTCGTGGTGGTGGACAGGTTTTGAAGAAGTCCTTGCATTGCTCTAACGTGTTGCAAGAGACTGCAAACGGAGACACTGAAACTGCGTTGTTGTGGCACCTGCAGTATGGCTTTGATCCAGCAATGCACTTACGGATGTGTTAGGAAGTTAAGCACGTGAAAAGTCCTGCTGGTTTCCCCCGGGAACGTTTGTGCTCAGCTATCCGAACACATGCCGGTGTGCTCTGCTGGATCAGGCCCAAAGTGACTACTAAGTGATGATCCCCTTCTGCAGGAGGCTTTGAACTGCAGTGGCGTTTGCAGGCTCCCTGCAGAGGGCGGAAGCAGGCGTCGCTGGCGCTGCCAAACTCGCTGACCTCTAGACGTGCCCCCCCTTCCCTGCTTTTGCTGAAGGTTGTGTTTCTCTTCACAATAATTCGCTTATTTTGTAAATATACAACTTCTAGTACTTCAGTTTTTTTTAATCTCTGTACATAGATGCTTGTTGTGGGATGCACTTGTAAATATTTTACCCAGCTAACAAGTACAGATGGCTAATTTTGTGGATAGTGTTTACAAAAGTAGATGTACTACTTCAAAGAAAAAGGCTATTTGACACTTACACTTAGGCAATCACCGGTGATGCCAGGTTCCTCTTGAAACTGAGATTTCATATCCAGAGGTGTTTTTTACCTGGTATTTTTAAAGTCAGCAGAATTAGAAATAATTTTAGCTGAATTTTTTTTTCAGGTGCAAATTTTCAACCCTAGTTGCCTGAACACAGCATAGGAGTCTTCTGGCATCTAGGTCTGTAAAATTTTAGCCAGTCATCATTAAGAGTATGATGGTTTAATTAAAGATTTTATTTTTTTTTTTAATTCCTAAAAATCTACTATTTTATTACGCTGCTTTTCAACCTCTGGATCAGTTGCTGTTTCCCAGTCTTAACACATTTTTTGTATGTCCTTTAAAATCAGCAGTTGTTAAATAGCAATTAAATTTCAGCCAGTACCAACTGAGGAGTTGCGAAGGGAAGTGAATTAATCCCTTTCTGTTTGTTTCAAAGACAGGGGGCTTTTGTTTGAATGCAAACTAACTTCTTGTTTTACAGATGGTGTTGTGTTGATCAACAAAGCTACTGCACTATTTTTGTCTGAAATGCTGTACATTTCATAAACACACAACATCCTCTGTCCCCACATCACCGGCTGAAACGACCCACAGGTTGTGTAGGGCACGTTGTACAGCTCTGTTGAAAGTTCAGTTTTGTGTACAAACAAAAAGGTGTTCCCCCCACAGCATGAAGATGACTATGCAGGATCTGAACAGCAACTTGGTTTCGCTTCATAGTTTTTATTTATTGCTTTTAGGTTGGGAAATGGCAATGACATTTTCAGATTTGTTTTAAACTTTGAAATCTCCCTAGTTGCAATAGGACTAGCAGGTCAGGGGCTGGAGGACTCTTAAGTAGTGAAATAATTTTTAAAAAAGTATACTTGGCCAATCTGCTCTGTTTGCTTCATGCATCTTAATTTTTTTTAAATTTTTTTTTTTACTTCTTGATTTTATGTATATTTGTGTAATTGATCTTTCTAAAGCTGTATCTTCAAAATTATTTCTTTTGGTGTAAATATGCAGTAGCAATTTAGGTTTCCACATATTTTATTTTTATGGGAAATGCTTTGTGTTCTAAGCCATGGGTCATTCAGAATAAGTAAACAAATGTCTGTTCATTTGTATTCTGGTTCTGATTCTCTTAGTTCTCCTTCAATATTTATTAGTAATCCTCTCTCACTGGCCATGAAATTTTATTAAGCTTTTATTGGGAACACTTATCTGGGAGGTCAGCAAAGTGTTCATGTTATTTTGTGGCTGGAAGCATATGACAGAAGAGAGGGAAAATGGTGCTTCAGCAAAACTCAGCGTTTCTGCTCTTCTGGGGTTATCAATTCAGTTGTTTCCAGTCTGGGCAATGGTTTTGCTAATTTTTACATGATTTTAATAGACATATGAAGGAGCCCTTGGTTCTGTAGTTCTCAAGTATTGTCCCCAAAGTGCATTTGCTAGTTTTTATTGTGCGTTCGGTGGCTAACTGTTTGAAGTATTACCTCTTAACCTTATTTGTCAATTTTTTGTTGTGTTTTTGCATTTTGTTTTATATATATAAATATATATATATTCAATTTTCCAAGATGGACTCGGTCTTTTTCAGATGTCCCCTTTTTACAAGTACTTTTTCATTAAATTATGAAACTGCTAACAATATTTTCATTTGTTGTGATTTATTCAGGGCTTTACCCTCTGGGTCTGGCAGGTTGTAAAACTCATCAGTATTGCATCCATTGAGAGTAAATTATTTCTGCCGATTTGGCAATACTTTAACAAGTTAAGTATCCAGGAAAACCCTTCCCCTTCAGCCTCCCAAAAAAAGAGTCGCTGAGCACTAATTTGCTGTGTATAGCAAATAGTGCAAGCCTGGCTTTTGTTTCTGCCTAGCTGAGCAAATGTAACAGACCATTTGCTGCCCTGGCCTCCCTTTTCAATGTATGTGCTTATGCTGTGGTATGGCTGGTTTTCCCTGCCGGACGCGGTGAGTTGCAGAGGAAGAGCCGTCGCCAGGCCTTCTGTCTGATCCCTCTTCTCGCAGCGCGGATGAGCGCACTGAACACGCACAGCCTCCGTGCCAGGGACTGAGCGGGGCCAGCGGCTCCCGGGATCCTCGGCTGCACGCGGCTTTTGCCTCGGCTGTAGTTCCCCCTGCTCCCGCAGCCGGTGCTGTGGGTACCTTGGAGCTGCTCCCTGGCCTAGGGCAGGGAAGAAGGAAAAAGGAGAAGGTGAAGGTGGAGGGGGAGGTGCTGGGCTAGCTGATCCCATAGCATCCCTCCTGCTCTGACTGGCTCTGCAGCTGGCAGCCTTCAAGAAGGATGGGATTTGCAATGTGGGTGTTGCAGGCAGCAGTGACCCTCCTGCCTGAGATGGCTCTGGCAGCAGCAGTGAGTCAAAGCTGAGCAGCCAAGAACACGCTTGTGGACTGGCTTAAGGACTGGAGTGACTGAGCAGGTGGCCTCAGGCAGGCTGGAACTGCAGCTAGAGAAAGCTTGGGTGAAATGGAGCCCAAACCCTCAGCTGAAAAGCAAACAGGAGGTAAAAAAAAAAAGGGGAAAGGCAGTAAAGGTGCAGATGAATGGAAGAAAAGCCAGCACTAGGAAGAAGCAGTAAGTGTTGGACTGTTTGTTGTTATTCAGAACCAGGATTTCTTCTTCCCTAAAGGCATCTTGCAACAGATACCAGTAACAGACTTCCTTGTTGTGACTTTCTCTCTGGTGGCTTCTAATTCCCTCTGCACACACAGTCTGCTTGTGGCTGCGATGTGGGAAAGACAGGGCCAAGGAAGGAGATTGGTGTCCCCATTAATTTGGAAACAGCTACTATTTGTTTGTAGGGTCTTTTCAACTACGTGTGCTTACTTGATGGTAACATGGACCAAGGACTGAAGGGGCTGCACAGTGGTTCTGAGCACCATCATCTCTGCATTTATGTTTCTGCCCTAAAAGAAATGTTTCTCAGTTATAACTTGTGTCTGTCACTTGTGGAATGTTTTCTTTGCACCATGAAAACCAAACCATTGAAGAAGTTACCAATGTCTGACTATAAAATGTAAGCTTGAAACGTTCCCTTGTTTGGATGTGGTCGCTCTGATGACCTGGCCTGGCTGTACAGGCTGCACTGCATGGTGTGGATCTGATACCTGGGAGGGAACCAAGGCCTGCCTCTGTGAGCTGTGAAGGTAATCCAGCGAAACCACTCATTCTGATCTTGGGAATTTGGGTGATCCCAAAACTTGTAAAGGTTTAGCACTGCAGGGAATTGACACATCTATTAAGAAAATATGCTTTTCATGCGAATTAAGGAACAAAAGCTGCTTGCACAACCGGGGAGCTTGGCATGCAAGGGAAAAATATCGGGGAAGGGCAGAGATGGAAAACAATGGAGTGCCTCAATGCGGCTTCCTTAGGAAGAAGTGAAGACACAGACTTCTGGGCTCTGGTTTCATGAGAGATGCCTTGCAGCTGCTGCTTCTGAACCTTCCTTTTACACCAGCATCATGACTGAACACCTTTGCCACTCCTGAGGTGAAACTCTTGGGTATTTACCTCTTGCAGAGATGATTCTGGGATAACTGCTGTCAGGCTCTGCTCCTAACCAAGTGAGTGCATCTAGTGGGATGTGACAGGTGGATTAAGGAGACTGCAAGCACAGACTTCTGAAAGAAAATGTTACATAGCAGTTTGGCAAGTTGTTTGAAAATAGTGGATGTGTATGACTATTTCTGTTCCTCAAGTTCACCCCTCTGCAGAGCTTGGATAAATTTGTGTGACCACATGGTTGTAGGAGAAGCAGCCTCGCATATTTGTGCATTAATTTCCCTGCCTCTGTGTATGCAACTTCCAGATAATCGTTCTTTTTCCAGTAGGCTTCTTTTGTCTGGGACATCTCCTGGATCCACCTTGCCCTGCCCTTTCTCTGGGATTCTTCTTTTGTTTTGGGTTGGGCAGACCCTCCCTGCCTTCCATTGCTTTCTTAGCAGACTTGGAGTTGGGTATCTGCCTCACCTTGGCTGCTTTATCTGATATACATTGTTTTAATTCTCTGGGTAGATTCCATAATGACACCTTCATGGTTTCTTTTGGCTTAAACATCCTGAAGACATTTTTTTCCAGTTGTTTTTCCTCAGATGCTGCCCAACCCACCCTATCCTGAGGAAAGAGCACTGGGGAGCAGGACACGAGTTGTATTTTGATAGTTCCAGTGTTGTTCTGCTCATGAAACCGGTAGGCCAGTGTCCTGAGGAAGGATTTAAAACTTAGCTCAAGAGCAACATAAGAGGAAGGTGTCATCAAGAAATCTCCTGGTCATCTGAGAGCTCTTGAGCTTATGACAGACTTCAAGAGTAGTACCTATAGGAAGTGTTATATGCCACTTGGGAAAGTGGCTCTGGTTATACCTTGGGAAATGCAGGCCCTGGTGAGGGAATGGGTAATCTGAGGGGGAAAAACACCTCTGAACTAGCCCACCCACTTCACCTGAAACTGTCTGCTTGCAATCCTTTGTAGTTCCTTATCTCAGCAGGGTGGTGCTGAGTTGTTTGGGAACCCCTGTCACTGGCATTTTAGGCTCCATTTGCATCTGGTTGAATGGAACCTGACCAAAGCCCTTTCCTTCCTTAAAACTGGCTCAGCTATTGTTCTGTTGTCTCCTCTAAAATGAAGATAGGGGCATTGTTTCATCCTTTTCCTGATTTAATCATTATACAACAAGCCAGACATCTCTCCTGGTTAAAGGAAGCACAGAGGCTGAAAAGCTGGATGAGCCAGGTGATGGAGATACTAATAAACAAGTTGTAGTTTACACTCGTTACAAATGGCTGGTACATAAACCAGACTCCTCAAATTGTCTGGTTGAACATCTTAAATTAAAACTCTGTGAAGTCACCCTAAATCTGCAGTTAATTTGAAATTTAATTTTGATTTGGCCAGAAGAAGGATTTGCATGCCTGTAAGCTGCAAACACTGAAAGCACTGTTGCTAGATCAGTTATTTGAATGAAAGATGCTGCCTTTCCCTCAAGTCCTGGCTCTGTTGCATGACCTCTGTTGTGACTATAATTTTGCAGCTGCTGTAGCACATATCAATGCTCTTTTTTTTTTATCCTGAGGCAAGCAAAATGCAAATCCAGGTCACATGGGGTGCAAAGACCAGAAAAGTAAGGCATTAATGAAAAGTGTCTTGGCTGTGCTCCACTGAAGAACGCTTTCTGAAGCACCCTGTTGCCCAACTGCTCCCAGTACAGAGTGGAGAGGCACAGGCTGGGAACTCCAGATATGTGAGGCAGCTTCAGGCAGCAGAAACCTGCACTTCTTGGTGCTCCCATGACAAAGAAGTTGGAGGTGTGAGTGTGAGGGTGTTCATGAAGCACTGGGGAGACTAACTGCAGTGGGAAGGGTCACACATTTGCTTTAGCATTGTATTTTTAAGTGAGGTGCTTTTTCATGAGCCTGTGGCCTGTACAGAAGGAATTGTGCTGAAAGAAATCTGTGTAATAAACTGTAGTAAGTAACGGGTACCATTGTCATTTTTGTGAAAACTGTTTTTAAAGGCTAAATACTTCAATATGACTTCATGGTGATTTGGTGCAATCCTTTGTAGAAAAATTCCCTGTCTGAGATTCTTAATCTATTCTGCATTAACTTGTGTGACAGTGGTGTTAGACACATAAATTAGTCAATGGGCACAAATCTGCTGGTGCCACCTTCTCCCAAGCAGACATTTGCAAACAGGAAAATGGAGTACTTTGGCAAATGTTTTAATATGTTTAAATACGCAACTGTGATCATCCAGACTAGTAAACAATTGAAACTTCTCAGCAGTTTGATCTCTCCTGGAGTTACTTGTTGCTTGCTAACAAATAAAACTTGATCTGGATACACAAGCCAATTCAAAGAATTATACTTGGCTGCAAACAAGTGCATGGCAGTGCCAACTCTTCCTTTCCAGTGAGCTGATGGCAGTGAGTGATTTCATGTTTCTGCCTTTGCTCTTGTTCAGTGCTTTTTCCTCGTCCCTCCATCTGTGCACCCCCAAATGCAGTATTACCTGATAGTGGAGAATTCCCACATGCCCACTCTGGCTGCCCTAATGGATTTAACAGGCTTGCACTGAGGTGGTGGCTCCGTGGGCTCCATGGCCCTTGGCACAGTCCCCGCTCTCAGTTGTACCTTGCCCATCTGCCGAGGTGGCCTGACAGACTGAGAGGCAGCTCTTGGGATACAGACAGCTGATACACAGCATTTGCACTTCATATCAGCCATGGATAAGGAAGGAGGACTCACAGCAGTAAGGAAGGAAAAAAGACAAGGATTGCTCTAAAGATGAAGAAATAGCAGGATCAGGCTCATAAAAGAAGACAAGAACAACTGCAGCTTTCCAGGAATGAGCAGAAGTAAAACCAAGTCTCTAGAGTGCCTGAAATAGTCCAGCACCTCTTCTTGCCTACAGTTGTTGAGGGTGGGGGGATTTTTCCATCTCTGTGGTGCTCTGGGCTGTTCTCCAGAACTGCTGAGCGTTTTCTGACTGGCAAGAATGGTAATGGCTTTTGGCAGGCTGAGGGATCCTGCAAGCTGGGGGAGAGCTGTGACTTCACCCTACAAGGCCTCTCACATCTCAGATCTCCTCTTTGTGTTTGTCATGGTTGTAGATAAGAATTCCACTTCCCTGCTTCCTCCCACCACGTGGAATAAATGCTCAGCTACCAGTGTGTCCTGTGGAAGCCACAGAGGTGCTGTGTCAGCTCCCTATCAGTCAGATTTGGCCACACAGTAGAGACTGTGGCTGCAGTGCAACGGTGGGAAGTTCCCAGTGGGAAGGCACACGGCAGTACAATCTTTGGCAGCCACCTCTTCTGTGCTCTTCTCTCCCACAGTGAACTTGTACTGGCAGAAGACTTTATCTGATGCTCTCTGTGAAGGCACCTCACCATGGATTCCTTCGTGCTCTACCTTTCAACAAGCTTGGATTAGCCAATACAGAGAAGACACATGGGACAGCACTCCTGCTTTAACTAGAGATCCAAGCTCCAAATACATGTCACAGAGTTTGTGTTGTAACCCAGTGCTTACAGAAGCTGTTAATTTTCTCCCAAGGTGTGTGCCAGCACACAGCTTGTTTTGATGCCTCCAAACCATGCTGGCAAATGCTTAAGTCAGCAAGGAACAGAGACTGCTGAGGTGGGTTAAGGGTGTATCTCCTGTTGCTGCTGGATTCAGTAAGCTCTTGCATTGTATCCCAAATGGCCTTGTAGTGTGCAAAAACAATGGGAGAGCAGTAAATGTGGCTAAGCTTTGTAAGAAGCAATAATTGTTCTTCATTGTACTTAATGAATTCTTTGATTCTTTGCATATGGGTTTGTTTTGGGTTTTTTGGTTTTTTGTTTTTTTTTTTAATTTCTGAATCTTCTTTCCATGTTGTGAAGTGTATGGAAAAAAGGAGAGAGATGTGGCACTTTTTTTTCTGAATGTTTCTCTGTGTTGGTTGTTGCTAATAATTTGCTTGCCTCGGGTCCGAGATGAAATCCTGCTGTTTGTTGTACATGCAGCAGTAGGACAGAACAAGAAATTAATTCAATGCTAAGCACTGAAGAAATACCATGGAAGCCTATAAAATAGAAGTCTAACTGCTCAGATAAGGTGACAATAAGTTAATGAGTATCACATCAGTACTCCATCAGAAGAAGCCTACATGAAACACATGTTGGTAAGGTCAGGTAGCCCATGAACTTTCCAAAGATACCAGTAATAAAAATAAAAGTTAGTAAGTGAAGCCTGGGCTGTGACCACCACTTTCCAAAGATACCAGTAATAAAAATAAAAGTAAGTGAAGCCTGGGCTGTGACCACTTGCTTTATGAATAAAGGCAACCAAATAAAAATATTAAACAGGAAATAATTGCTGCAAGGAGGGTGTATGATAAAAAACATATAAAATCTCTAAAAGGAGCTGTGTGGGGTCTCTCTCCTAAGAGACCCTGCTGGGTGCTGTGGGATCACTGGTGTGCAGTGCCCCTTGAATAAAGGGGCTGCTGCATAAGCCAGCTGGAAACCAGAATCTGCATGGGGAAGAGGCGAGCTTTGGAGCAGCTGAGTTAATTCTGGTTTGTGGGGATACAGCAGCGAGCCAGCTCATGCCTGCCTTGTGCTCCTGAGTTTCCAGGAGCAGTGGGACTGAAGCCACTTGGTGTCACTGATCCCTGTGGGGATCACCAACGCCAAGTCAAAAGGCAATATGTCACGGGATGCTGAAGAGGAGACCTGGGATAAAAAAATTACCCACTGCTTTAAACTTGAGGCCTGGGAGCTGTAGTGGCCATAGAATAAAGATAAGCATGTGCAACAGACAACTCTATCTGCAAATTTTGCTGCCAGCTGTTTGCCTTCTGCCTTTGGAAGTTTTTGAGACTAAACAGCACCATGAGTAAAAGAGGACAGGGCACGCTGAGGGCCTGGGATATCTGGATAACCACGGTGCTGCTGCAGGAGCTGTGAAGGGTCCCTGGTGCTGGAAGTCGGGGCCGAGTCTCTGCGGCCACCTACACCAGAGCAAGACGGCAGGGAGAAACCAGCCCTTTCGGGAATCAGCCTCTCCGGGCGCTGAGGAACTTGGCCACCGTAGTGGGAAAGAAAGCTCTTCTCCCTCTTTCCCTCCCTGCCGGCCGTGCAGGGAGCGGAGGATCGGGCCAGCCCGCCCCCGCCGGGTGCCCAAGGCGCTGCCCGCTCCCAGCCGCTATAAGAGCGGCGCCGGGATCGCTGCGGCTGGGGGCGCGCTTCCTTCTCGTCGCGGGTTTCTGGGATTTGCTGGTGCCGCTGTGCTGTCCCGCCGTGCCGGCAGGTGGGTCGGCCCCGGCACCGCGGGTGCTGTGTGTGCCGGGCCTGCGGGGCGGGCCGGCCGCGGAGCGGCCTTTGCCTCCCTGCGCCGCCCGCACCCCTCTGCATTTCTCCCCTCTCCTGTAATATTCCCTTTTTTTTCTTTCCCCCATTCCCTCCCCGCAGGCCGTGGCGGGCCCGGGGTGTAACACGAGCGGCGATTCCCTCGGCAGGCCATGTCATCCGTGAGCATCGAGTGCGTGGCCAAGGAGGGCTGCAGGATCGGGGAGTCGCCCGTGTGGGACGAGAAGGAGGGCGCGCTGCTCTTCGTGGACATCACGGGAAGGAAGGTGTGCCGCTGGAGCCCGCTCAGCCGGCAAGCACAGGCCATTCCCGTGGGTAAGGAGCCGCTGGAAAACCCTTCCCTGTGTGGAAGGGACGCGGGCTGTGTCCCTCGGCAGCTGCACGGGGCTCAGGTCTGGAGAGCCTTCCCTACAGCCTGGGGTTCCTCGGGCACCCGCACGCTGGGAGACACCAGATACAGACCAGACCTACTCCTGGGGTCTTTCCGTATCATATTTTATGTGTTATGTTTGATCTATTTCTTTTCCCTGTAAGTTGTCCTCAGCTCGCTCTCTTTTATTCATACTTTGTCCCAGAGGTAAAGTTCTTCTGCAGGTGTCTGCAGTAGTTCTGATATGAACGATCAATGCTCATAACATTTTCTGTATCGAAAGATGATTTCCAATAATGCTTTAAGAAGTTGATACTTCTTTAAGGTAGTGGTATCACCAGCTAGAGTCTCAATGCTTCAAATTTTTTTTTTTCCATAAAGGAAGAGGTGTGCTAACTCACATTAAAAAAGGGTTAGAGATTTACTGCTGGATGTGATAGAGTAAATATTTGTGTTGGGAGACAGCTCCTTAAGTGGTTTCAGTACAATTTATTATTTTCTCGTGTTCAATAGCACTTGGTGACAATCAATTTTGCCTACCTATAAGTTGTTCAGATTATTCACTAGAAACTGATCTGGGTTTATCTGCCTTTCAAATGACTGTAGTTGTCAATTTCAAGATGAGAGAAGGCCTGATAGTGATTTTGGAAGTGTTGCTTCCCAAACTTATTTCCTCTTAGCTTAGCTGAGGGAGTGTGCTTCTCCCTGCCTTTCCCCCAAATTGATCTACTCTCAAAGGTGTAGTCTTTTAATTGTGGCCTCTCTGGAGATGTGGAAGAGACAGCAGCTGAAGTAGCTCCCGTTTTTATTTTTTTTTAAATTGTTTCCTCTCTTTAGCAATAAAATAGTTATGATTAACAGCTGTGTCTTTGGGAATGCTATGATTAAAAGAAAAAAATACAACTCCCAAACAACCAAAGAATGCCATAATATTATAGTAGTGGGCTTCCAAACTGGAAACTAAGAGAAATTACTCATTACTGAAGCTTTTAACAAGAGAATTACAACAACACCATGCTTAGAAACAACTTCAAATACCCTTTATAGCTTTACAGGGGGAACGCCATAGCTGCATAACTGGGCCTGGAGGGCAGACCTTATGGTCAGTTTTCTCTTGGGTGCAGGATGGTGCTGCAAATCAATCAATCCTGCAGATGCTGCTCAGGCAAAGCCCTCTGGGGTCGCAGCAGACTGAGCTGGGTGCACGGGCTGAGGCACTCCTCGTGCTGGGTTTGTGCAGTCAGCAGTAGGGTGGCTGTGTCTCATGCAGCCCTTTCCTCTGGGGTTAACTGTCAGGAAGGTATGGAGCTGTTCTTGTGGCTGCAGGGACACCTGGATGTCCAACACCTCTGGTGCACAGCTGTGCTTGGGGGCTGCTCCCCCCAGGGCGGGAGGAGCATCCTGGGTGCTGCCCAGGAGGAAGGACTCTGCTAGGCCATGGCCCCAGGCGTTTTCCTGGAAGAGTAAAAGTAGACTTGCAATCCCACGCTCTGCTAGGAAAGCCCCTGCTGCTGATACAGGCAGAAAACTTTTATTAGTTTGGTCACTGGCAATCCGAAGAGCAGCAAAGTTGCTACATGTGGCAGGTGCCGCACACAGCTGAGGGGACATTGCTGTCCTCTGTGGTGGCACGGGAAGGAGTGGCACCCCAGTGTAAGTGAGCCCAGACCACCAGCAGCCTCAGCTGCTAGAGCTGAGCTTGCAGTCGGGTGTGCATCTCCAGTGCTGGGGACAAATTCAGATTTCTGTCACGGTGGTACTGCTGCCAGGGCTCCAGAGGGAAGGGGCATCCTGAACCATGAGCAAACAGCTGGAAAGGAACAGTCCCTCTTGTCACCCAATGGTGGCTGCTGGTGGTGGTTGTGTTTGTGAAAGTATTACCTAATTATACCCCTGCAAAGCTATAAATACAAGAAATATTTCAGTTTTAAATTAGAAAATTAGTGATTAGTCCCATTTATAGAAAATATTGTGCCAGACTTGGTTGCCCTGCCTAAAGTTATTGTTCCTTAGATTGCATCTGATTTTAGGCTTTTACAGAAATGTTGTCTTTGCACTCACTGTTTTTTTTTACTAATTCCTTTATAATAAGCTGTAATTGAGGTTTTATGCGTAACAGCTCAAGTGAGTGTAAGCTAATCATGGAAAGTGAGTGTGAGCTAGTTTTCTGTTCTGTTTTAGCTCTTGGGAAGCTCTGGCACTCCTTGGTGTGTTTTTGGTGCTGCTGGAGGTTGAGCGGCACAGCAGAGTGTGGTACGGGGGTGTCTCTCCTGCCCCGTGTGACCTGTCCCAGTGCACGGATGCTCTGCCTCCCTCACTTCACGGCTCATTTACACAGGAGCTGTGCTAAATAAACACCGTTGCTCTAGAGCTCTTGTGGCAATTGATTTTTCCCTTGGAGAGAGGAGAACCCACACAGTAAGCTATTGTACAAAGCATATGCTCCTGTCCCCTTTTTATACTTACTTTTTCAATAATGCACCTAGCACAACTAGGTGCTGGTAGTGATTATAACTCCTGGTAGCAGTGGTAATACTCAAGTTCATGTGACGTAATCTGTTTCTATGTATTTAAACATCAATTTTGTTGGTAGAAAAGTAGGTTGTTTCTCTTGCCTGTGGTTTTGCTGAGTTCAACTGGCATGTCTAAAGTGGGCAGGAAAAAAATGTCTCACTTTTCAATTTCACCCTTTTTCCAGATGCTCCTGTGAGCTCCGTGGCTCTCCGGAAGTCTGGGGATTATGTCATCACCCTAGGAACCAGGTTTGCTGCTTTGAAATGGAAAGAGGAGCTGGTAACCACCATTACTCAAGTGGACAAGGATAAAGCAAACACCCGATTCAATGACGGGAAGGTGGATCCTGCAGGGAGGTATTTTGCAGGTATGCTGCAATCTTTTCCCTCTGGTGCTTGCTGGTTTTGGTGATTAGATGCAGTGATCGGTTGTAGATGCAGCAAGTTAAATGGTGGGGATTTTTTTGTTTTGTTTTGTTTTCTTCAAACAGGGCTTAAATCCATTTACAAATTTGTTTATATCACATGGGCATTATCTAATCGGGACTATTTTGTTAAAAAGAGGCTGACTACACCGAGCCTGCCTAGTTTAAGATACTGGCCTTGCCCTTTTCCTGTCAGCTGCTTGTTTTGAATACTGGAAGGGTGCCAATAAAAGATACTTTTCCAGTGGGAAATTTATTATATTGTGTGGTTTGTTCTCCATAACTCAGAATATTATTTCTAAAAACTAAGGGACTATTCATCCTGGAGGTGAGAAGCCTCAGGGGATTCCACCTGTATGTATAAGTACCTGACTGAGGAGGGAGTAAAAGAGATGGAGGCCAGGCTCTGCTCAGTGATGCCCTCTGAAAGAGCAGAAGGGGTGGGCACAAACTGAAACTCAGCCAATTCTGTATGAACTTGAGAAAACTATTTTACTGAGGGTAACCAGGCAGTGGAACAGGTTGTCCAGAGAGAGTATGGAATCTTCATCCATGGAGCTCTTCAATGCCCGTCACTGGTGGGAGGAATCTGTGGTGTCTGACCCTGCTCTGAGCAGGGGGTGGTCCTGGGTGATGTCCAGAGGTGCCCTCCAGCCTCAGCTGTGATGCTGTCCTCCTGATTTTTAAAACACCATTCTGTGCTTTGCTGTGTTGTTCAGTCCAGAGACCTAACTTAACCTGCATTTACCCAGCCTCTCAAGAGCCAGTTTCAGCTGCCAACTTCAGCATGTAAAGATGAAATTTGCTTTAAAAGAGGCTTTAGTGTAAGACTCATTCTGAGGGAGGAGGTAATTTTTTTCCACTCTCTCAGCTCTACAAGGCATTAAGATTTATTGTAAGTTAAATGCTGGCCACACCTGTCTTAATATATGAGTGACTGAATAAAACATTTTGCAGGAATCACGCTGCACACCATTTCTGCTGCAGGAATGTTCAACAAAAGAACAAAGGCTATGTTTTGCCACCTTCTGCTAAAAGCAAGCACTTTGAAAAAGTCTGCCTTTTTCTTTTGCCTTTAACTCAGTTTCTTCCTCAAATTTCAGAAGCCCCCCCATTCTACACTGGCAGTGTGATCACCATCATAGTGAGAGGCTGCCCCCAGACCTGGAGAAGAGTCCATTTCCTCTGAACTGCTTTTTCCCCTTTGGCTCTGCACAGGTACAATGGCAGAGGAGATTCGTCCCGCCGTGCTGGAGCGACGCCAGGGCTCTCTGTACACGCTCTTCCCCGACCTCTCAGTGGTGAAGCACTTTGACCAGGTGGACATTTCTAATGGGCTGGACTGGTCGCTGGATCACAGGACCTTCTTTTACATTGACAGCCTCTCCTACTCGGTGGATGCCTTTGATTATGACCTCCAAACTGGAAAAATTGGTATGAATGGTTGTATTCTAAAGCAATTGTTTGTGCCTAAAGATTGTGGTGTTTGTTCCTGCTCTGGTTATTACACAGAGATGATCAGAGCTTTGGGGGATGAACAGAAGCCATGTTAACCTCTGTCTGCGCCTGCGTAGGCTCCTGGCTCAAACCAGTCAGGGTCGTTTGGTAATACTATAAACGATTTAAATTGGCAGTTTGAGTAGTAAGTAATCTGTACTACTGTTACTAAACACAAGGCGTATCTGATCTGCAGTAAAAAGGACAAAGTGTATCTCATCTGTCTCTTCCTGTGGCTGCGTGTTTCTTGTTACTGGCAGCACAGACAAAGTGACAGCAAGCTGGTAGTCTTGCACAAAACCTCTGCCAGCTTCTCCAGATATTTTTTCACTCTTCCCCCTGTTTTGTTTTTTAAATACAAGCTACTAAAGGAAGGTTCTGCAGAAAGAACAAGGCAACAACGGTAGCAGAAACTCAAAGCTTCCTTAGTTAATTTAAAACAAAACAAAGCCTTAAGGGCTTCTACAAGCTTGGGCAAAAGAAAAATTCCGGTGACTTGGACTAGTAATTTGATTTTGAGTACACGGGCTGCAGTATTTTGCTTTAAAAGAGCCCAGCCAATTTGATGTTTAGTTTTAAACTCTGAATTTAAAGTAATTTTGGATGTAGCACCTTGTCCTAATGTCTCTCTGCTTTGACTTACAACGGAATTTTTCCCTAGGAGATAGGGTACTTCTCTCTCTCACTCATTCTTGCTCGCTCTTTCTGTGGGCAGTCTGACAATCCCCAGCAGCAAAAAGGAAACTCATTAAAAATATTGCTGTGTATGAGAAACATTGAAGTTGTCAGAGCATAGAATAAACAATGTTGGAAAGTTGGATTTAATTTTTTTTACTAATAGTGGATAAAAGTTCAGATAGAGTTGTTTGTTTTTTGGTCAATAGCGTGCCTTTGAAATTGGTGCTTTACCCCTGAATGCTGTGTTTATGTAAGATCTCCGTTTATAGATCTGAAGGTCAGTTTTGTGTTGAAACAGTGATTATTGGCACGTTCCAGCAAACTGTTTGAAAAGTCTCCAACTGGAGCAACCCATACTTGAAATGATTCAAACTGCTTTTAAAACAAGTAATTAATTTTATTAATATATCTGTATTAATTTATTCAGTTATTCATTTAATATTGTAAGTAGGGAACACGAGTGGTGCACTAAAAATGAATGCCAGAAAGAAGGATTATACTTTCAATGGATAGAAACTGATCCACAGGCTTTCATGCTGAGAAACAACTGTCTCAGGGAAACAAACAGGGCAGCAGACACAATCTCTTTCTTTCATGGGAAAAAAACTCATGGCCTCAGCACAGCTTTTGAAAATTATAGTACAAATAACTCTGCTGGGCTGTGACTGATAAAAATTTTAACAACTGTCTCACTCAGTTCTGTGGTTTTTTAACGCTGCAGGCAACCGTAGGAGTATATACAAACTGGAAAAAGAGGAGAGCATTCCTGATGGGATGTGCATTGACACAGAAGGCAAACTCTGGGTGGCTTGTTATGATGGTGGGAGAGTGATTCGCATTGACCCTGAGACAGGTGAGTCCTTACAAAAGATGGACTGGAATTTTGTGTTAAACAAAACAAAACAAAAAAACCAAAAGAAGAAATAAAAACATGGAGTGAGGGGTGTGGTTTTTTTTCACCTCACAGAAATGGTGTATCTGCTCTTTTTAAAAAACTGTGCTATTTTTTTTCAAACAATTTAATGTCCCTGCTTTCAAAAATTACCTTTGTAAATATGTCTCCTTTGTTCCCAGCATCTGTTGTGTTGGAAAAGATAAAGTCGCTAAGGAGACCATCATTCTGCTTGTGAATTGAGTTAGTATCCTCTTGCATCCTCCAAAATTAAGACCAGTGTTTATCCCATTGATAAATGGGAAAGATGACTTAAAACCATTTTTGAGTCTTGTTTCTTCAGCTTAGTGTTTTATTTTGGGCAGCCTGCTGGATTTTATTACAAGTCCCATGGCACACTGATGCCAGCAACATCTTTTTTATTGTTGGAAGTTACTTGCACGATCAATTTTGCAATTAAATAATTAAAAAATGTTTAATGAATTCCACAGCATTTTATCATTCCCACAGTAATGTCTTGGGTGTGCCCATTGTCTGAGCCTGTTGTTCATTGCTGCTCTCATTTGGACTCTAGTGATGTGCCAGGAATGATTTACTCTGGGTGGAAAACACATGTAAAGCACTTAAGGGAAACTGAACCACACTGGCTGCAAGGGGCTTTTGGGTGAGAATGGGAGCATGATTTTCTCAGACCCCAGACAGCAAAAGTTTGCATCATGCAGCAGGAGAACAACTGCACTGGGATACATCTGGAGCCTAGCAGAAGGCTTGGGGTTTTGTGGGACTGTGGATTCAGGGGTGCCTGTGCCTTGTGTGCAGCATGCAGCAGATCCTGGCACACGTGCACCAGCCTTGCTTCTGGCTCTGCTAGCAACCTCTGCCATTTTTGAGTCTTGTTTCTTCAGCTTAGTGTATTATTTTGGGCAGCCTACTGGATTTTATTACAAGTCCCACAGGACACTGGTGCTTTCCCCCTCACCTTTTGATCTGCGCCCATCCAAAGTCTTGCCAACCTGTAGGACTTCTCCAGTTCTGCAGAATCTGCACCCCAGCCCTAGGAGAAGGAAGCTCCTGTTGCGAGATGCCAGCAATGCTGGGACTTTCTGGACCCACATCCTCTCACTCTGGTGGGCAGAGCACCCCTTGGTGACATCCACCAGCCCTCTGAATACCCTCCTGGGCTAGTAGATTCAATAACTTTTCCACTCTGTTCGCTGTTTCTACCTTTTTCCTGCCTGGCCTTTTTTTTTTTCTTCCTGACCTTTTTTTTTTCCTTTATTTTTTAACTTAATTTCCTTTTCCTTCTCCCTTTTGGAGGTGTTTTCATATGGGAAAGCTAGAAAGAATAGTGTCCATAAGCAGATGTGTAGAGATAGCAAGAATATTGATGACAGAGTACATGTCCCTAATGCACTCCCAGTCTTTAACTGTGCTCACAGATGGATGAGGCAGTGATGTGTTGGTAGTGAATTTCTCAGTGTACTTCTCCTCCATGAACCTGTTCTGTCTCCCCCTCACCCATGTCATAGCACTTGCAGAGAAGAGTTTTGTGAAGTTTCACAGGGTAAGTGTCCATGTCAAAAAGAGCCACCTTTTTTTTTGTGAATATCTCATGCTTACCTGTCCTCTCATGCTATCATTTTGAAGTCATATTTAAAATCTGAAATTTGTTGAATTCTGAAAGAATTGTAATTATTTAGGGTGATAACTCAGTCAGGTTTGAAGAGAATTCTATGAGACCCTCTTTTAATACCCAATAGCCATTAAGCGTGGCTTGAATGGCTGTCAGACAGTTGCAGATACATCCACCAATAAAGAGCTCATCTAAACCACGTGAGGGATTTTCAGGTTTCAATGATAACAAAGCCTGGACTTTGTTTTTAGGGCAATGGGACCAGGAAACTTGTTTGTTTGGCATCTTTCCTAAGTGGAGGTTTTGAGGTTCAGGGTGAAGCAGCTTTTCAGGTTTAGGCTTCTTTAGCAGAGATGGCAGCTGCCTTTAGATTGAGGATGTGCTGCAGGGAAAGGCTGATGGCTGATCCCATGGGGTTTGCAAAGGACTCAAGGGGTGTCCAACGTACATGCTACCAAGTCTTGTCATAGCTTCTGGTCACCTAGTGACCTGCTAGTTTTATTCTTTAAATTGGAATCCTAGAACTATTAAAGCTGGAAAAGACCTCCAAGATCATGGAGGCAAACCATGAGCCAGCACTGCCAAGTCCACTCCTAAACCATGACTTTAAGTACCACATCTACATGTTTTTAAAATACTTCCAGGAATGATAATCCCACCACTTCCCTGGACAGCCTTTTCCAATGCTTGACAACCCTTTAATGAAGAAAGTTTTCCTAATGTCCAATCTAAACTGCCATTAAATATTTTATAGTTCTTCCTAGTGATTGTTTTTAATATCCTTTGATTTTTATAGTGTCAAAAAGATTTGCTATATTCGTCTTTTCTATAGTGACCAAGCACAGAGAAATACTCCAGATAGATTGTAGAGGATCCAGGTGCACATTTTCTTGAACCTCCAGGGAGACATCTCAGAGCTTTGTAAATGATATCTTCCAGGCTGTTATCCACTGAGAGCACTCTACAGCTGCAACCAGGTTCTATCCCCTTGTGTTTGGGGCTCATGCCTCTTTTCCTACAGTCCATGCTTTTTCCTTTTGAATGCCCTTCCCAATTCCTTTCTCCCAGACTTGGTGTCAGTCAATTTCTAGGGTTCTCAACATCAAAGTTACTTTGCTGCTATTTCAACACATCACTAAAGTCAGTTGCTGTAAGGGGACCAAGTCCTTTGCACATGCAGTTGGGAGAACAGAAAGTTACACATTTTGTAAGGAAATTCATGTGCTTTAGCATATTTCTAGAAAGAGAAATTCACTTGTAGGTACATAAAATCAGCATAATGGGAATAGGCTGTTGTTGCCCAGGATTAGCAGAAATTTTGGAAAAATCTGCTGCAAGATGTCTTGACAGCCTGCTGGTTAGGGCTAGAGGCGATCTGTTCACTACCATCATTAAGACTCGTTATTTGTTGGCATAATAAATGTAGTATTATTTATGGTAGCGCTAGTTTTTTTATAAACATTTCACATGTCCCATGATCCCTATTTTATGCAAGCTTGATTTGAAAGACTGTTGAAATTTCAGGAAAAACTTCTAGGAATTAATCTCCCTTTAACCGCAGGCAGTAGAGGTGTAGCAGGAGGTACGCCTCCGTAACGCTGCACGAGGTCTGCTCGCTCCAGGCTGCCTTTGTAGTTAAAAGTAGAAAAGTCAGCAGGTCTAGGGCGTGATTCATGTGACCTGTTTTAGAGAGGAATTCTATTCCATTTCCATTGACTCCATGGACAGCTTAGATGATGAGCTCAGATACGTGTTTGTGCTGTGGATGTTAGTATTTAATTAGAGGACAAGCTGGGATTGAAGTGGGATTTGTTGGTGATACCTGAAACTGAAACTTGCCAAATGATACATCATCAACAACAGGGTTCACAGAAGTCTGGTTTCTCCCTGTCATGGTGCTCAGTAAGGATGGGACCTCCCCTAGCCCTGGTACCCACTTTTACAGAGCATCTAGCTCCACAACAGTTATTTGTGATAATTTATTTAAATTTCTTGTTCTAAGTCGACAAATAGGAAACATCATACATGTTTTCCTCCAGGAAAAAGACTCCAGACTGTGAAACTTCCTGTAGACAAAACAACTTCCTGCTGTTTTGGTGGAAAGGATTATTCAGAAATGTTTGTGACTTCTGCCAGTGATGGGATGGATAAAGAGTGGCTTTCACGGCAACCGCAGGCTGGTGGGATTTTCAAGGTGAATGATGCTTTCTCCTTTCATTTTAGAAGGCTATTGTTTCACTCCTGATTTTTGCAGGTAGCAGAACTCCAGTTTGCAGTGATGGGAAGCTGGAAAAAGACAGTTGTTAGAACATTGGTCATATATGTTAAGCTGTTTGTATTTTTTGCTCCTCTTGCAGAAAGTTAAACACAATTTGAGATTTGAAGATACTTCAGGGTTTAAACTTTGTACTAATGTTGATAGTGCAAATTTTCTATGCAATCATCTCTTTATACTTCTCTCTATCCCAACACTGTTTGCATTTTCTATTTTTGGAAAGGATGGGTAAATACTTACATGTCTTAATCAGTGGCAGATAAAAGCATCTGCTTTTATTTACTTTCTAGTTAATTATCACGAAGTTATCTCTTTAAAAAATTGTTCCACTGGGATTTGTTTTAAAGCCCTGCTCTTTGTGTGTGCATGCCGAAGGTTACATTGTGAACTGCAGAATTAAGGCTTAGCAGTATCTAAGAGAAGAGGCTTTTGGGGAATGGACTCTGGCCTGTGATTACTGAGCTTTAGAGAAAGAGCATGCATTGAAATTCCAGTCTGTGATGAGCTGATGTGTGCAAAATATAGTAGGAGTCAAGCTGGAGGACACAGTCCTTTTCTAAATTAAAGCATGTCTATTTGTTTAAGGAAACCAAGTGTCTAATAATGGTGAATTATCACTTTATTTTTTTTTCTCTGTGTTTTAACAGATAACAGGACTGGGGGTGAAAGGAGTTCCACCGTATCCATTTGCAGGTTAAATACATTCTTCAGAATGGATTAGAGAGGGCTGACGTAAGCGAGACAAGTCTGAAGGTCTTATCCTGGTGTTCAGCATCTTTTGCTTGGAAACCATTACACCATTAAAACATTTCATCAGGAAAGGATGAAAAACTACTGAAATACATGAAATATTTTAAAACTGATCTTTGTTTTCCCTTTAAATTTACTTTTAATATATGATGGTACTTTTTCTGTTCTGCTAAAAAGATTCTCATCCTAATAAGCAACCGTTGTAATTCTATTTTATGATTAAATAATATTTTAATATATTTTATTGAGTATTCTTCTGTCTCATTTGCAACTTTTGCTATATTGTTTTACTGATTAAACTAGTTGTACTATCTCTTTTACATATTTTCAAAGTTCCTCATAAAATGTTCTTTGGTGGTCTTACCATGTTTTAACTGTAACTCTGTTTGCCCTATGATGTTCTCAACAACTGAAACATTAGTACCTCTCACTCCATCTGCAGCTTCCTTCCAACAGGCCTCAGCTGTGGCTGTGCTTAAATTAACTCTGGCTGGAACTTATCACTCCCTTTCCCTAGTGCCTGTTGCCATGTTGCTCATTTTGTTAAATATAAACCCAAAATTTTGGAGTCAAGAACCATGTCCTTTTCTATCCTTTGAAGATCTTGGCCTGTTCTGGGGATATCCATGATGACAGGAAAGCACTGGGCATTCTAGGCCATTTGTGCATAAAGCACAGCCTGCACATACCTCCTCCAGAACCAGCCTCCCCCAGGGTACAGAGAGGCAAGGCAGGCCCATATGGCCAAAAAACCACAGCTTTTACAAATGTGAAGAGAAAGGAAGATCTGTTGCAATCTCTTCACACCACCTGTTGTGAATGAAAACTTAAGGGATTGCATTTTTGCTTTTAACTTCAGGCCTGTTGTCTGCTGCAACAACTGCAATGTATCTCAGTTGGATTTCATACTGCAGAATTTTGCTCTTGGAATGTCACATGTTCCCATGTTAGTGCACATACATCTGCAGGTGGAATAGCTGTGTGTCCCCATCCTGCTGTGTGAGGGTAACCCACCAAGTGACTGATAGGTGAGCCTGTGGCAGTGCATTTTCTCTCCAGGTAGCTCCAAGAATCAGCACATAATGGTTTGCCATTTCTGCAGGCTTGTTGCAGTTGGTTTCTGGTGATCATCTTGTGTTGGCTGTGCCCTCAAGTGTGCCGACATAATGGTTTGCCATTTCTGCAGGCTTGTTGCAGTTGGTTTCTGGTGGATCCTCTTGTGTTGGCTGTACCCTCAAGTGTGCCATGGGTGACTCAGCTGCCCACCAAGGCCTTGGTGCTGTTTTATTCCTAGGGTTCAAAGATTATTTTGTGCACATTACTGTTTTCCCTCTTTACATCATACAGGGATCTGTCTTGGCAGCTGGAAAAAAAAAAAAAGAAGATTTAAGCAGCCCCACTCTAGTGTGGATGAGCATGAGGCAATGAAGGATGAAGGAAGCTGGGCCTTGCTCTTTGGAGTGTCCACATCCTTCACTTATTTTGTGCTACAAGGCAGTCTAAAGCCACAATCTAAAATCTACTCAAGGCACAGTATTGAGAAAGCTTGAGTCGAGGGAGATGGTGAATGTGGCAAATCTAGGGCTCTGATCTCACTAAAGGCACAAACCTGGTGATACCTGCAGCTCTGGAACCATGCTGTTGGGCTACTGTGGTTGATCACTAATGGAGATCCAGAAATGCAGCAGAAAATAAGTGGGCATAAGCACAGATAAGACCCCTCTGACATTGCTATTGAGGTTTTGTACCTGTGCTCACCCTCACACCACCTGACAGTAGGGTGATTGCCAGAACAACACAAAAAAACAAGCCAATCTTTTTTACATTGTTGCTGCATTAGAAAAGTAAGAGCAATAGCTTGTTCAGGCATGAAAAACTGGGTCAAAGATTAGTTTATCAGAGTTAGTCAGGAGGCACCCAGGAGACACAGGAAGGAGGACATGGCTGCTGGAGCCCCTCTTGCTCCATGCTGTGCATGGGTGGCACTGGGCAGATGTCTGAATAACACATTTCTTTGTGCTTTGTGAGCGTGAGAGCAGAGGCAGGTAAAGTAAGCTGCTGCAGACATTTTACAAATGAATGCCACCTCCCCCTTCAGTAAAAGCACCTACTTGGCTTTGCTGCACGGGTTTCTTGGGCTTCACATGAGCAGGAAGAGCCAACTCTGCCAGGAGAGTTGTGTTTTTAATGCTGCCGAAATGCCTGGGAGCGCGTCTCGGCGCAGCCTGCAGTGCAAGGCTGGAGCTGCTTCCAGCCCCAGGAACCCAAACTGGTGCTGCCGGCGTATTTTCACTCGAGTCCCATGACAGAGTGCCGGATCTGGCAAACTGGAGCTGAGCCGTTGCCGGTTCCCTCAATTAGGAAGGCTTCCTGACTTTTGTTTAATCCCTTGCTTATTAATGGCGCTCACCTCTTTGATCACAGATCAGCACTGATTTCAATTAGGGTTGAGCAAGAACCCAGTGACAGGAAAGGCTGTATCAGGAGGAGCAGCTGCTGAGCCCTGAAGGGTTTCTTCACCCTCATGACCAAAATCTATAGTCATAGGTGAAGCGTAGTTGTTCCCAACCAAGCTGGAGAAAGCTCTTGTAATCCTTTGCTGGCAAAATAGCTCTGCTGAAATAAAAGCAGGCGGCACTGACTGCCTGGGGAGCTCCAGTTCTTCCCATCTCGAGCACAAGGGAGGGACCAGGACCTTCCTACAAAAGGGTGAAGCCAGGAAAAGATAAGCTTTGGCTTCACTTTTGGACCGCTCTATCAAGTGGGATATCGCTAGGGTGAGTAGCTATACCTGTATCTGCTCGGGGTTTTTAATGCCAGTGTCTTTGTTAACTCTGCCTGTTAGAGGGAGAGTTCTAGTTCTCCCTCCAAGAGCTGCAAAGATGCATAAAAACTTTTAAGAGATCAGGACAACCAAATAACAAGCAAAGTTGAGTTTCTAGAGCAATGAATGATGGGATGGACCCTCAAGGGGAATAAGTAACACAAGTATATTTTGGAGAGTTATGGGGAAAAAAAGGGAAGTGATGGATTTACTAAATATTTGCAAAGCCACAAGAACAAATTCTGAGCTATTGTCTGAGCACATGCCTGTGGAGAACAGAAGACAATTACAATCATTTAAATACCACATTATGTGGTGTGATAATGCCTTGATATTCTCCTGATTACTCTATGTTGATAAAAAGTAGGGACTACAAAAAGCAGTGGGTGAGAGTTGCACCAGAGGACACCAAAGCAGTGGGAAAGGAGAGAGGAAACAACTCCAGAAGGAGACAAGTGGCTGGGTGTCAGCCAGGGGTACAGGGGTGTGTGGCTGCCTTTGGCCAGCTTCACTAGAAACCTCTGCTTTGCAACCCAAACAAAGTGCATGGCAGGGCCAGGCTCTTTATGTTGTGGAAACAATTAATAGAAAAGCTGGCTGGCTAGCAAATATATCCACCTGCTGCTGCAGAGCTGCACCACTCATCAACAACACCACAAAACCTCTGAGATGTGTCTCTTCCTAAAGTGACCAACTTCTGGAAAGGCAGATGTGGGATGTTGAAATAGCAGAGTGGGAGATGTGGTCATTGTGTTGATAGCCTAGAAGTGGTCAGGGTAGGAATAAGAGATGGTGAAAAATGTGGCAGGAGCATCCCCAGAGCATTTGCAGCCACGTGAATAAATTAGAGAGACGTGTTCTGGCATAATTTTCTCAGCTGCTGTCCTTCCTGTGCCACCGCTGATCCAGCATCCAAGCTGCTCACCCAGCAAGCTGCACATTTGGTGTTTTCATTTGCAGCAAGGTGAATTCTTTGTCCCTCTGCCTCACTTGGTTTGATGTTGCTGCAGCCTGTGATGGGGAAGTCAAGTCACCAGAAGTGAAAAGCTGTGTGGAAAATGTGGTTTTCTCTTCCAAAATCCATTTAGAGAAAATGTTTTGGGAAATATTTTGCAGAAAACAAGATAACTTATATTTCTCAGGGTTTTTTTCTTTTCCAGATGAAAATTAATTTTCTGTGAAAATTATCATAAGCCAGAATTTTCCTTTTGAATACGTCTTCCAGCTGAAAATGCCGTGAAAAACATGCATATTGTTGTACTTGAACCTCCCTTCAAAGTTATCATCTAGGTTGTGAAAAAGAAAGCAGAGAGTAACACAATATTTTTTCTGAGAGCAAGCAGAGACTGATGGTTTGTGCCAAGATGAGATGGAGCCATTGGAGGCCAAGGAAATCTCAGAAGGGTCTTCAAGGCACCCAGAATCATGTTGTCTGAAATACAGTGATTTTGGAAGGAGTTTGACTTGGAAATATATCTGGCTTTTTCCCTAGAAATGTTTGAATTTGTGTGTATCTTAGGGCTGTAATTTTTTAATCTCAGAGTGTGGATTGATGGTGACTATGGTAGGATAATACATCTATCTTGTCTACTTGCTTATCAGGGAAATGTGTTCATCCTGTGAATCATTTGAACATCAAATTACAAAGTTCATTAAAGTCTTTCATGAATAAAGAAATGCATTGTTCCTCTATGCTGGATTTGGGCTGATTTCTCCCAAGTTTCTGCCCTTGCTGAGTGTGGCCCTGTCACCAGAACTCTGGTGGTTGCTCTGGTCTCTGCCCAGCCTGGTCTCTGTCCCCATGGCAAGCCTGCCTTGACCCCGCCTTGCTGGCCCTGCCATCACCTTCCTCTGCTGAGCAGGGCTGGGTGGGAGAAGGCACTTGGCATCTTTCACCTTTGCCTCCCACAGACAAAAAAAGAAGGCAAACGCCCAAGAAGGAAGAAAACAAAAGCCAGGCAAGACATCCCCATCCTGCAGCATCCGTGGCAGTTGCTGAGACTGCCTGGTGAAAGTCCTTCCCTGTGTGTGCTGCAGGCAGCAGCTTGGAGCTTTTTGCCCAAGTGGGATCAGACTTTGCATGCTCGAGGTGAGGAACCCTGTGACTTCATGCACAAGAAGGTTGTGGCACAGCTGGGAGTAGGAGCCAAGTCTTAAAGCCTTAATCACAACAATATTGTTTCCCTTATCGGAGTGCTACAAAACCCTCCCTCTCATCTGTCATTAACCTTCCCCTTTCAGCACCCTAAATTTTGGAAGACTGGGCTGGCCCTTGGGGCAACTGAATGGTGCAATGCCTCAGTTTCCCTCTCGCACTCTCCTGACATGAGAAAAATACTGAGCAAGGATTTTTCTCTATCACATGTCCTGCTGCTGGCACTGCAAACCAGACCATTCAGAAAGGCTTTGGTCCCTGCCTCATCATTCATGTGACTGCTGACTGAATACAAAATGTAAAGGGTTACCTGCTCCATGCAGATAACATCAACTGGTGCACATTTTTAACCGTGCTGAAAACAGCAGCCAGTTTCATTGGACCAGTGCTGGAAAAGAGTCACCAAGCCAGGTCTTGCACTATTTTCCTCAGCAGGTGCGTTGGTGTGATGAACTGCAGAGTTTCGCAGTGTTCTTCAGCTTGGTAAAGATATTCAGCTGTTTGACTGAGGGGAAAAGGGTTCTTAAAATTCTCTGATTTATGCAGATGGTTGCTTGACTGTATATTAAAAGTTTTAGCTGTCTGCCTGCTTATTTGAAGGTTCAGTTTGATGTTAAAAATGGAATTAGGTGTGTTTGCATGGGAGGGAGAGAGGGAGGGAAACAGCATAAAAAACTTTTAAGGCCAGTCATTCATTTGTATTTTACCTGTATCTTTTTAGGGGTACTGAAATTACCAACTTCTGTACAGATGATTTGAAAAGGAATGTGGACAGAGGTCTAGAAAGACAGGATGTTTTTACATTAATTTTTTATTCCTAACAGGAAAATTTTCTTATAGTGTCAAAATTCTGGTAAATTTTACCAGTTAAACAGTTTAACAATTTAATGTGGAAAATGTTTCTGTGGTACCTGTCCATCCCTTGTACATGAATCCAGGAGGCTGCAAAGCCAACAAAATGTTGGAAAGAGGATATAGGCAGGTGAATGTGATGATTTTTTCTGCAGAGATTTTGCTTTGGGAGAATACAGAAGTATTTGGTGATTTTTACGTGGAATTTCTCCTCTTTCCTTGCATGCTCATCTCTGATGGGTCGGTGCTGTACCAAGCAGGGTGCAAGGTGCCACAGATAAAGGTGCCCAGGTGGCAGGATGCTCAGGGACTGATTATCCTGAGATATTCTGAACCAGGTTTTTGGGGGTCATTCCCTCATTTTTCCCTCTGAGGTGCTGTATTTGGTGAAATGTTGCTACTGCATAGTTCCATGGGGTGTCAGCAGGGAGGGCATGGCAGGAAAGGAGCAGAGCACTGAGCAGAGGACCCGGGACATGGACTGGATAGGACCAGAGCTGAGTCCCTCCCAGCTTGTGGGACTCTTTTGGAGGGCAATGCTGCCCCTTAGGGTTGGATGGTCTTTTACAAGCAGCTGAAAATGGAGTTAAAAGACTCCATTTTCAGCTGCTTGTAAAAATTAGTGAAACCTCAGCTAGCAAAACACAGACCTTCCCTCCTAATTGCTCTCTTCTTGGGAGGGTTGAGGATGATTTGAGCCACAATATTCACCAGTATGGAAACCTCCACAGCTGGAGTGACACATGGGAGTTATTTCTTTGGCAGAGGGGAAGGATGCCGTGGCTGAATGTGCAGTCAGGGAAGGCGGGTGTGCACTGGGGACCCATGGGACAGGACAGGTCTCTGCAGCATCGCTGGGGAACAGGGGAGGGGGAAGAAGCCAGCTGGTGCAGGCAGGATGGTTTCTCCCCTGCCTATGCCTTGTGAAACAGCTGGCAGTGGTGTGATTGTGTACTCCTCATGTGACGTGTGGGATGGGTCTGTGAATCAGTATTTCACCACGGCTTATCTGCCAGGCCCCTGTTCTGGTGTTGACGAAGTTCGACAAGGGGCATGTAAATGAAACAGGAGCTGGCGGGAAAAGAAAGGTTTAATAAGGCTCAGTTGGGTCAATGAAACAGCTGACAAGACAAATACACACTGGCTGCTGCAGATCTGGAGGCTTTCTGCCTCTGCAGGAACCACACTGCTGCCAGGCTGCAGCTGAACTCTTGTTTTCCCACAGGGGTGAGAACAGCTCTGTGCTTCCCAGACCATGATACAATAAAGTCAGCATTGTGTCTCCAAGCCTCGGGTCCCACATATGGCAGCCACATGACACAAAGCTTCAACCCACAAGAAACTCACTCCTCCAGCTCAAGCACTGTTTAACAGGTTTCTGGAGGTTAAAACTTGGCATCTTGCTGTGTATCTTCATTAACGCTTTAGATGCTATTTTCCCGTGTGGAACATCTTGCTGCCCAGCCTCTTGTGGCCAGTGTATTTTGGAAGGGAGAAGGATATATTTGATAGATGAGTTGTTTGAAACTTACCTTGGTGGTGTGACTCATTGCAGGAAAGATCTCATGTCCCTCAGCCCTGGCATTTCCACTCACGGTGATTGACTGCCTCTTCCCACATATTTTGAAGTGCATTAATTCTAATTAATTATTTGTACACCTTATCGCCAGCTCACCTACTAGGAAACAATACCCACTTGAAGACAGTAATCCCTAGGACTGATGTTATGTCAGGGACTGGCTGCCTCCCAAGAATTATCTTCCAATCTGTGGAAAAAATGTGCTGAGGCCAGTGGGTGCAGCAGAGGAGGCGGCTCCATTAGGGGTGGCTGAGGCAGTGAGTGGGCCTCTTTCTTTTGTAAGACCTGAATGGTGGAGGTTGACCATTGGTCACTTCCCACCCCACATCAAGGATCCATGTTTTGGAGGACATTAGTGGGTACTGGACACAAAACTGGTGGGCTGTGCACCATGTGTGGGTGTCAACCAGCTGTGGCCGATTGACTGATGTCCCTGCAAGCACCCTGCTGCAATGGGGACAGGGTAGACAGAGCATGAACTTCTGGCAGAAGCAGGCATATGAAATGGGAGCTTCACTGGTGGCTTTGGCCCCCCAGGCAGCAGCTGGGGTAATTGCACCCCACAGCCTGGCACTGGGCAAAATTCCGAGTGTGCAGCAGGGGTTGGAGATGAAGTTGGAGTGCTGAGGGGGCTGATGAAGGGGAAATGCTTAGAGGGAAAACAAAGCAGTAGAATTTCAAAGGCAGGAGCCTTCCTCAGTATTTGCATATTCTCACTGACTTGGTGTGGGAACAGGCTTTTGTTGTGCAGTGGCCTCTGTGGTGAAGTGGAGTCAGTGCTGTGGGTGTGTAAATGTCTTCCTGTGGAGGAAATCAATTCACTTGTGTTAATAGGGCAGAGCCTTGATTTTCCACAAAAAGATTGATCCACCACTCACTGGTGCTGCTGCCTTCTGATCCCTCCCTGTGATCAGGGGGACCCTTAGGATCATGGATCCACAGACAGCAGCTTGGTTCTAGCTTAAGGCTATAGCCATGAAAAAATTCACATGAGAGCTTTTAATTACATCCATTATTAACTTCCCCTCAGACCATGTCTTCTTCCATCAAAATCGAGTCTGTTGTGAAGGAGAAGAACCGGATGGGAGAGTGCCCAGTCTGGGAAGAAAGGGAGAATGCACTTGTCTACGTAGACATCAACTCACAGAAAGTTTGCCGCTGGAGCCCAGTCACCAATGAGGTGCAGAGCGTGTCTGTGGGTAAGAGTCCGTACTCACTGCTTCATCCTGGCACTCCGTCTGTCCCATCCACCCCTCCTTCTAGAGGTCCTGCAGGTTGGTGGTCTGTCTTACTTTTCATGGGACCACATTCCCACACAGTGTGTTGCTGAGCACAGTGTGGCCTAAGCCAGCCGAGCAGAGTGCACATGTGGCCCCTCATAAGCCTGAATGGGAATGCATGTTTCGTTTGGGACCTGCAGAGGAAAAGGCACAGTCCTAATGGCTGTGCCATCCTAGAAGGTGGAAAAATCCATGGAACACAGAGCCAGTGAGATGTGCTAACAATACCAGGGGAGGAAGATCTCAGCACCAGCTCAGCCTTTCTTGGCCAGGGATGTCCCAGTCAAGCCCAGACGCCCTCAGTGAGGGCTGAGTGATGGCCCCAGAGCTACCGTCCATCTTCTTCTCTCTCTCACCCACAGATGCCCGTGTTGGCTCGGTGGCTCTGCGGCAGTGTGGGGGCTATGTCATTGCCCTGGGGACCAGGTTTGCCTTCCTGGACTGGGACACCCAGGCAGTCACCACCATCCTCGAGCTCGAGCAGGATAAACCAAACAACAGGTTCAATGATGGGAAAGTGGATCCAAAGGGGAGGTTTTTTGCTGGTAAGTTCCTGGCAGAAATTTCCCCAGAGCAAGGGAAACTAATTATAGTGTATTTTATATAAGGCATTTTTATTTATTCCCTGTCTTGTGAATGCTCTGCTTGGTTACTGCCCAGTGGAGGAGGACAGGGGATTTTACATCTTCTGTCCTAGAAGAGAACAGATGCTGTTGACAAGGGCTATCTGACAGGAAGGCTCTCATACTTGGTGGATGGTGTTTTTCAAACAACTGCCTTCATGGAAAAGTCAGTGAAGGGCTCATGTAGGTAGAATTTTTTCTGGAAATGTAGAGAAGGATGCAGCTTCTAGAGCAGAACATGAGCTGCAGCTTGCACCCATTATGTGCAGCCTCTCTTGATTATCCTGTGAAAAAAAAGGATGTGTGGGGAGATCCTCAGCCTCCTGAAGGCAAGAAGGAGGTTTAGGTTTTGGTGTAAAAGGTCTTCACCCACAGGGTGGTCAGGCACTGGAACAAGCTCCCCAGGGAAGAAGTCATGGCACGAACCCCAACAGAGTTCAAGAACTGTTTGAACAATACTCTCAGGCACATGGTGTACACCTGTATTTTAATGGTCACAGCCCATTTAAATTATGAAAGTAGCCTACAAAGAGCAACAACAGAAACAGCATATGATTGATGCCTGCCTGCATCTTGACTTTTGCTGTGAGCAAAAACTCAACCCCCTGACGTGTCCTGGTGGCCCTTTGGGTCTTTGATGTCTATGACTTAAACCTCATGGCAATGCAGAAACATCCTTTCATTGGCCAGGATCTGCTCTGTGGGAGGCAGCTGCCCTTGATATGCTCCTTTTGCTCTTTCTCTTCAATCTGACAGGACCTATTAGTCCCTTTCACTACAGGATTAGAGGATTGTAGAATCATAGAATAGTTTGGGTTGGAAGGGACCCTTAAGACCATCTAGTTCCAGCCTCTCTGCCATGGGCAGGGAGATCAGATCACTCAAAGCTCCATCCAACCTGGCCTTGAACACTTCCAAGCATGGGGCATCCACAACTTCTCTTTGCAACCAGTGCCTCACCACCCTCACAGCAAAGAATTTCTTCCTAAAAATATTTTCTTTTTAAGAAGAAAAGGAAAAAACCAAATCACAATCCTGTGGTTCTCCCTAGGACCTCTTGGTAACATTAGAGGAGGTTTTTGATCAAACACGAGGAGCAAGCTTCTACTTTCTAACCAGTGCTCCCATTTCCGTTTCAGGTACGATGGCTGAAGAGACAGCACCAGGGGTCCGAGCGAGGCGGCAAGGAGCTCTCTATACCCTCCTCCCTGACCATTCAGTAATAAAACAGCTAGACCAGTTGGACATTTCCAATGGTCTGGATTGGTCCCTGGACCACAGGACCTTCTTCCACATTGACAGCCTGTCATATGCCGTCCATGCCTTCAGCTATGATGTGCACACTGGAAAGATTGGTACACATGCTTTTAAATTTGTTGATAAGTAGGGCCCCTGCTCTGCCTGCAGCAAGACCTGAGCCTGTGAGATCCAGTGATTTATTTGACAGATCTCATATGTGCTGGTTACAACTTGTCAGCTGGCTGGAACATTTGGTGTTCCTCAAATTTGGTTACTCACAAGGTGCATTTGGTGAACAAACTTTTGACAGTCTTTCAGCTTTCTTTCATCTGGAGAGGTGGCTCATACTTAGACCTGTTCAAGGAGTTGCAGGGAAGAAGCCATTTACACTGCAGAATGAGAAAGAGCTTTTAGGATGATATTTATTCTTGAGTGCCATCTACTGGAATTCCTTTGATTGTACTAGCTCCATAAAGACAAGTGGAGAACGTGCATGTATGCATTTTGCCAGTAAGGTATTTGGATGATTAAGCTGTCATTGTGACAGAGTTTTCCCAACCAAATTTCTGAAATTAAGATGTTTTCAAATTTAACTTAAATTCATTTTATGGATAAACATTTTTTATTGCATCTGCAAGGAAGTAAATTTAAGTGTAAGCAAAATGAATCTAACCTAATTTCAAGACTCTGAAATATTTGCATGCTGTATCAGCCTGATATACTACACAGGAATTTAAATGGCTGAACTGCCTTTGTACTTTAAAGAGTGCAGACTTGGGGTAATCACAGATGAAAATCACCCAAAGTAATTGCATTCACTCAGATTTCATTTTGTTGAGAATATCTCTTTCTACAGATTTTAGGATATATGATTTCAAAAGAGGATATAATGCAACATTTCCCCCTGCAAATATAAAAATGCAACATGATTGAACTTCCTAGGCTTGCCTTTATGTTCACAGCTGTCTCTTCTTGGGTAGTGTAAGGACCAGAAGGTGCTGGCTGGGTCAGAGCAGGTGATCTGTGACCCATGGGCCCTGCTCCATGGACCTGACTGCTCACCAACATATCTGCACTGCATCCCTGACCATGAGCTGGTATCCAGGTTTAATCAAAAATGGTTGCTTGGTTGGCCATTAAAAAGTAAAGTTTTTGATCTTTAGCTGTGAGAGATTGCTTACCACCAATGTTTAAACCCAGGCAATTATTTATGTGACATATCCAGGCTGCCATAATCAATAAAATCCAGAAAAAGTTACTGCACTTGCAGCAGTTGTGTTGTGGCAGGCAACAGGTGGGTTAACAAGAGAAATGGGGGCATTTTGTTCTCTTCACTTGGTAAAAAACAGGAACACTAATTTGGTACAATGCCAGACTGAAATGGCTGAGCTGGGGACTTGTCTCTGCCAGGCTGAATTAGGCTTTTAACACATCTGCAGAACGAGGGTGTGATGTACAGCATGTCTTTCTCACAGAAAATGAACATAGCTGTTTGCAAGAGCATGGAAGAGGTTAGACTGGGATCTGGTACAGAATGGGTAGCAGCCCACATAACATCAGCTTTGTAACTCTTCCTGCAGCCTGCCCCAAGCTTTTGTACCATCTGGAAAAGGAGGAGCAAATGCCTGACGGGATGTGCATAGATGCAGAAGGGAAGCTCTGGGTGGCCTGTATTGATGGTGGCAGAGTCATTCGCATCGACCCAGAGACAGGTAAGGCCTCCACCAGTTTGTGCATATAAATGTGAGGGGAATGGCAGCAGGAGGAATGGTTTGAAGGGGAGACAAGGTGAAAAGTATTGTCCATTTCTGCCTGTGGGTTGCCAAGAGCATCGCTGGCTCAGGCTCTGATCTCATAAAGAGTGCAGCTCCCTGTGCTGCCTCCCAGTGTCAGATATCCCTGCTCCCGTGGGTGGCTGATGAACTGTGCACTCTTTTTAATAATACCACTGTCACAAAAAACCCCACAAAATTCTGCATATAAAATTTCTCAGTGTTGAAAAGTTTAACTGGAAAATGCTTTAAGGAACAACTTCCATCCAAAGCCAAGTATCCCTGGCCTTCCTGACCTCACACACAGTACTGCTTTGTTTTGAGAAAAGGAAATGAAGCCTTGCAGATGTGGGGGAGAGCCTGAAAAATAGTTAGAAATGAGGCAGATTAAATAATTTGATATCCCCACAAACTGTCCTTTAGGATGTGGTCTCTGTCTGAAGGTGAAGTGTCTTCTGAGTAAAAGTCACGTGTGCCATGTGTACTGACAGTACATTCATAATTACATGCTTCCTAAAAAATAAACATCAGAAAACAACTGCATATTTTTCCCAGGAAAAAGAATCCAAACTGTGAGGCTGCCTACTCCAAGGATCACCTCTTGCTGCTTTGGTGGAAAAGACTACTCAGAAATGTATGTGACTTCTGCATACGATGGACTGGACGAGGCCACCTTAGCCAAGGAACCTCATGCAGGAGAGATTTTCAAGGTGAGCAGATTTTATTTCTTTGTGCACATCAGACCTGCCAAGCCTCATGTTCTGGGAGTGAGGTGGCCCTGGCCACCCTTGCTCATCCCACTCACCTCATGAGCTGCTCCAGGTGCATTGCTTGTCCCCCAGCCAGGCCCAGCTGCTTTTGCAGAGCTGCTCATGCACTTGGAAGGAAGACTTGGAGAAATTACCAGTTATAATGTTGATGGCTGGGTTGGCCAAACTTGGCTGGTCAGGATCTGAAGGCAGTGAATGGGTATGGATCTGCCATATGGATAATGTATTCTGTAATACACTGCAAGGATTTTCTTTTATCTCTTACTATAATTTAATCACTTTTACAAATTTCATACTCTTACTTCTCAGTTTTCGATTGTGCCAGGAAATCTAAATGCTTACAGAACATATTTCTCCTTTAAAAATTAAATGTTTAAATTTACCAGGGAAAAATTTTTCATCTCAATCAAAAAAATTTAGGATGTTTTTTGTCTGTTAAAAAGGATTGCTACTTTTTTTAAAAAAAACATTTTTGTCAGGGGCTCTTGAATCTGAAACCTGTTTCTCTCTTAATTTTTTTCACTCCATTAGCAAAAAGCACATCAGGAGAATAAAATGCAGTTCTTACTCAGCAATTGCCATCAACCCAGACCAAGCTCTTTTATCAGTTTGGCCTCAGGATGAAGATATGTTACAGTAGGGATGCAGATCTATTCTGGGATCTGGGACACTCCTGTTGAATGCAGTGCTTAGAGCAGATATCTCATGTCTGAGATCTGATATATTCAAGCAGCACAGTTTAGAAGCCCACAAGAGGACTAAATAAGTGTCTCTTTTGGTTTTGTTCTCAAGTTCTCCAGTTCCACAAGGGAGTTGGTGTTTTCCAAACTCACATTTGTCTTGCATGGGCAAAGCATGCTAAAAATTACTATGAATTGTTTTGAAGATAAGGACTACATGCAAGGGTCACAGATAACATTTAAATTAGCAAAATTACTGAGTAGTGCTTGATAATCTTAGTGATCTTAAAGAGTTTGGAAGAACTCCAAGTAATGACTCCTTTTGGGCTTCTCTTGAAGCAGGGAACCCTCATGTAGTAGCCTGTTGCTATGATATTTGTTCAACAATGTTTGAATGTTTTCATTATACTCAGTTGGAGATTTATCTGTTTCCTTTCTTTTATCTTTTAATTTTTTACTTTTTAAAAACAGATAACAGGTCTGGGTGTGAAAGGGGTCCCACAGAACTTCTATGCTGCTTGAACCTTGACACTAAAGTGCAAAGAAGAAATGCTTCCATCTTGTAGTAAATCTGACTGGAAGAAGTCAAATGAACTACAGAATTAATTTGTGTGAAGATTTCTAAGCCCACTTTGTGAGTGTGCTTGTTTGGAGTTGAAGATATTTCTTCTTCTGTGGGCCTGTGGCTTGATGCAATAGGTTAGAGAGGTAAAGTTAATCTGTGTTACACCTTGGTAGCTTTTGTGACTTTCCATAAACCTTTAAATGCTCAAGCGTAGTTTTGCTGAACTTTCTGATGACCAGCTCTGGATTTTCAAGTCTGTGCTGTTCCCAAAGCAGAATCTGACTCCTCATGTTACAGTGATGCACCAGCAACAATATGGCAGATTTTAATAAACATTTTAAAGAGTGGTGTCTTGAACTGGACTGTTCCTCTGCTGCAGAATTCCCCTGAGGTTATTTTGTTTTGGTTTTGTTTCTTTCTTTTTTTTTTTAAATGATCAGACCTATTTGTAGTATCCAGGTTCCATTTTTACATCCTCATTAGCCTCTTCCAGGCTGTCCTGTCTTTAGGACACCTCTTAGGCTGCTGAAAATAAACTATGCAACTACATTTAAAGAAATGCTTACAGATATTTTTCTTTGCATTCAGATGCTACCTTGAAAGCACTGACTGACCACACACAGTCAGTGCACACACAGGCTGTGAGCCACCAGGACAGCCTGGAATATCAAGGGATGCTTGGTGGAGTTGTTCTTTCAGGGGTCATATTTACACACACACACAAACTTCCCTTTGCTTTACAGCCTTAATGTACCCACAGCCTCACTGTCTTGTTCCCCTTTATTCTGGTGCTCATCCACTCCCATTTCAAGTATTTACCCCCTTTTTCCCTTTAGATCCTCCCCTCCTTTCTCCTCCAGAAAGCACAACATCAAGGTGTATTTTTAGAGGCTGTTTAAATAATGACCCAGCTCTGCCTTGGACTCACTGAATCACTGTGATCCTTTAGGGATTTCAGAATACTCAGGACCTGTAGATACACAGTGAAATCTAGCCTTTGCATTGAGTTTGCTGTGTTTGCTGCCTGGAAAGAGGCACAGCACATAATACATTTTCGGATTTTTAATGATGACACTTTATAATGTTGCAAAGAAGGCAATAATAGGCATCATTTACCAGACCAGATGTTTCAGTGTCTTCCTCTGAGGTATTTGACCTTTTCACCCCTGCTATTCAAAGCCCTTAGACACTATGAGTAGGGAAAAAGTTCTCAGTGCCTCATGAGGATAATCTCCCCCAAAAACCCATGCACAGAGGATCAGGGGAACTGTGGTTAGCCATGCAGAAATATTAAACACAGTTTCCATGGGGCTGTTTGCAGATTGCCTCTAAAATTAGCTGTTTTCTCCAAACCTGGCATCCCTCTCCTAGCCAGGGGTCCCTCACAACAGTTTTGAAAGTACCAAACTGGGTTGATTTTTCCCTTTAAAAATACCCATATTGCCCTACTCTCTTACATGGTAGCCTTCTGGCCTGCTGATAAGAAAGAGATCTAGTGCTGAGGTCTGATCAGTCAGGGGCTAGGTCAAGCCCATGTCCTAGGAAAATGTTCTATCCATTTCAAAGGTGACAGAGAAGGTCAGGCGGCATATTTGACCCCTCAGTTGAACTGGGCCACAATCCAGAAAGAAATCTGAGCTCCAGAGGACCAGGAAGGGAGCTTTAGTACTACTGAATATACTCTCTAAGTACTATTGAATATACTTGGCCACAAAGAGGATTTTCCAAAGTGCATTATTTCAATGCAGTTACCTGACGTCTACTCTGAAACCCATGTTAGGTGTTTTTCAGACACTTATTGTAGATGGTTACTTTTAGCAAGCACTTTGCTCCTGTGCTACTGGAGATAGATATTTGTATAACAGGATGAAGGGGCTTGGCCTATCACTCCTACCTTTTGTCCTGGAAGGGAGGTGAGCCCATGGAGCTGCACAGAGACAACTTGATTGAGAAATAAAACATTCAGCTTATTGTCATGTTTGCTCAACAAATAGGCTGTTGTTTTTCTTCCTAAGTCATAATTCCAACGGTAATTAAACTGCTGGGGGTTCTTAAGAGCAAAGGTGCTAAATGCCCTTTGGCACCATGTCAATGCCAAACTGGTATAAGGAACATGGAGAATTATGCAAGATTTCCTGTTTACCCCATCTGGAGAGGAATGTGATGGCAGGGTGTTTGGAGGCAAGTCGAGTGTCCTAACCTTTAATTAAAAAAAATATAGGAAGTGAGTGCAGATACTCTATTTGACAAAAAATTCCCAGTTACTTGCAAAATTGCCTATTTAGTAGGTCCTTTGCTCTTCCAGAAAAGCAAAGTAGATAATTTTGAAACAATTTACACCTGAGCAATACTACCTCTGCAGTTTTTTGTTTTTTTTTCTTTTTAGAGCTTTCCCAGGCATGTAAGCTGGGGTTGCTGGTTTGTTATTCTTCAGCCACTCCTTCCTCCATTTCTAAAGGGAGACATGGTGCATGCTGCTCTCAAATTGCAAGGTCTGAGTGCTTTGGGGACTCTCTCTTTGTAGCACAGCTTCTCAAACCAAAAAAGGCTTGAAGATAGGTGAGTTTCTCTCTGCTACCCAAAGGCTCACTACTTTGCTTCTCTTCAGATTTCAGAAGTTGCTGTTTTGTGATTTTGCTTTCTAAAAGACAGTGTTAATTAAAAATCATGTTGGGGCTACTCTCCAAACTCAGTTCAGCAAAGTGAGGCCAAGGCCCTTGCCTTGAGGCAATGGATGAAGACGTGAAGGAAGCTGGTACAGGTTTGTTCCTTTTGTGCATATAGGGAACAATATGGTATCCATAGTCCTTGCTGAGGACACACTCTGAGGTGGTTTCTCAGTGGCTGAGAACTTGGGTTAGCCCTACATAGGGTCAGCCCTACCCCACATGCTCCTGCCCAGGGGTAACCTACAGAAAATAAACCAGCTAGTCAACAATATGGCACAGACTGATGGCAGCTGGCTTCCATTTTAAGGGATTGCTCTGTACATCCTGCCTTTTATAAGTATTTATCATGTTTTATCTATATTTAACCTACACCACACTGGATGATATTAAACTAATAGTATTTTAAGTTAGCCATTCCATGCTTCACCTTGTGAAGCATATAAAAAATGTGCTGGTGACTGGCTGGTTTTGTAAAATTCTCTACCTAACTGCAGCAAAAGTTGGTCTGAGCTCCCTCTTAGTAACCAGGCATTGGTTAGCTTTGTTTTTGAAATGCAGCAATCTGGAATAAAAATATGTATAGAATTTGGAACTTAAAGTTTTGATTTGTACAGGTTGTGATAGCCTGCCTTTGATGCAGCCACAGTTGGCTTTCTGGACTGTGAGAGCACATTGCCAGCTCATGTCCAGCCTCTCATCCACCAGCAGCCTCAAGCCCTTCTTGGCAGGGCTGCTCTTGGTTACTGCACTGTGACTGATCCAGGGTCTTGCAGATAATCTGTGTCAGGAGCAGGAAACCAACTCCATTTCCTCAGTGTCAGTTCAGCGATTTACCCGCCACAGAATCAGTGAAAAATAAATTAAATTACAGTGTAGTCTGAAATTTGGGGAAGCTTTCCAATGACTCTCTGGGGCTTTAAAGAGAGGAGTTACTTCATTTTTGGCATTACATCTCTAGAGTTGTGTTCATGCCAAACATTTATTTTCCACTACAGAAACTGCTTCAAGGCTCAGTGGTTTTTTGTCAGCTGTTCCTTTGCTGATGTACACTAGCTTGACAAAATATTTGTATTTCTTTTTTGTATTATAACATTAACACAAAAACCACACAAACATTAACAAAAAACTTTGGGAAATTATTAGATTTGTTTCTTACATGGAGATGAGAGAAGAAATGAGAGCTTTTGCAAGCCCTCAGATAAAGAATGTGCAAATAAGAAGATGTAAAATCTTTATTAAGGACTTCAATTTTAGTCTTTAACATTGGAAAGATATTTATTTCACCTTCAGTTTTTTGCTTTCCTACTAATATTTCTAGTGACAAGAAAGCTTAGAAATAGAATAATGGAAAATTATTTTTTTCTGCAATGGTGTTAGCTTGCTGTTTTGGTTTTCTCTTAAAAACCTTTCCCTAATTCTGCTTTCCCAGAGGAAAGATAGTGCATGGAGACCTATTTATATAGCTCCAGCACTTGTATCTTCATCCTTGGTGCCTAGTGATTCCCCCAGTAACTCTCTATATACAAATAAATAAATAAAAAGATAAATAAATATATTTTAATAATAAATAAATTCTCTTCCTAGATGTAGGAGAAATGTTTGATGCTTTTGAATGCCTCCAGTGGGAAATCTACTCCAACTGAAATGAATTTTTAAATTTTGTAATGTCAATAACTAAGTGCGTACTTTTGGTAAATTGGAGCTTTTTTTGACATCTTCAAAACACTGTCTTCCTTTTATTGCTGATTCATTTACTTGAGGAAGACTGATCCAACAGGTAAATGCTTAACCATTAGACACAACCAAATCCCCAAATTTCAAATAAAATGAAGGCAGACTTCTTTGCATGTGGGCCAGCTCCTTTATTTTTACATCTCTGTATGGTATACAAACCATATTTAATACATATTTTTGACCATCTCTACTAAAATCAACTTGGCATTGGTCAAAGATCTCCTATAATTGTTCCTGCTTATGCAACATTTGATTCTTTTTAGGCTACAAGTCCAGACCAGGTCAATGATTCAAGTAGTAGAAGATTAAAGTAATGCTGGAGGGTATAAGTTCAGACCTTTCTTACGTGCCTTAAAGGCAGAACTCTGAGATCAGCATACAATAGTCAGAAAGGATTGGAGAAAATGTTTATCGATATAATTTTTAATACTAGCCAGCCAATAAGATTTTCCAGTGATACACTGCCTGAGGGTAACCATCCCTAGACAGTGCTAAAATACTCCTTCATTCTGTACTGTGGTTACTACCTGTGTGCTGAATGTTTGTGTTATCTGTGATATAAGAACCAGGTAAGGGGAATAATAAGACTTTAATAGACATTTTATGTCTTTTTCAAAAGAAAATAGTTCTAACTGCCACCTCTGCTAAGTTTTGCATCTGTTGACCCACCTCAGTCCAAACTGGAAACCAGCACCTATTCTGTGTGACAAAGAAGAGGCCTCATAAACTGTGATGAAGGATTTCTTACCTGTTTGCTGTAAAGGCATCAGTTTCACAAGCATTACTTCCCCTGACAATAGGACTAGGGGTACTCCACAAGGACAGGAAAGCCACCCCCACCTCAGTACCATATAACTGCCTATGCTAGGTCTCACTGCATTCTGATAGTGTACTTCTCTCATATATGCAGCAGAGATAGTCTCTGTAAACCTGTCATTTCCCAGTAGCCACTCT